TTGCTAATTAAAAATTATCGTTCCAAAAATACTCTTCCTCAATTCCCTCCATCCTCCCTACCCCATCTCTCCGATCCCGGCCCAGACTGCTCCAGCCAAGACAACCTCCTCACATACTTCTTACCTTCCCTTCCCTTCCCTTCCCTTCCCCCTCACTTTCACCTCACTTTCACCTCACTTTCACCCCTCCCTTTTTACATCTCTATCTTTCGCTTCATGGACTCGGTAAATCCCCGGGAGCAAGCGCACGTTCAAGCTCCCTTACCCGCTGCACCGTATCATAAATCGTAGTCTCCAGTGTCCGGTACTCAATTCCCAAATTTTTCCGGCACTCACTAGTATCACACCGAGCATATCCTTGACCTTCTTCTCCTTCTCCTTCTCCTTCTCCTTCTCCTTCTTCCTCCTCCTCTTCTCGCTTCTTTAAAGCCTCCAAAGTGGCCTCTCCAACATATGGCACATACTCCGGACAAACTTCACACAACGCCCGAACAAGCCCACCAGTATCGGCACGACCCCCTACACTCAAACACCTCTTATTGTCAAGCCCGTGATTTGTAAGTGCACGTACATGCGTTGCAGCTGCATCTCGAACATCAATGTAGAATGGAAACGTATATGGCAATAAAGCAGGGTCATGTAGCTCCGGATCATGGTCTGGTGGCAGAGATGCTGGTGCCCCAGTTTTATTATCATCCCATTTGGCCAAAGCGGCTTGTGGGTCTGTGATGAGCTGTAATAAGAATTCGTTACTAGCACGCAAGTGTTGATACAACATGTCGTTGATGGGAGGCCCCAAGATAAGCGGAAGTTGAATGGTAGTTACTGTAAACCGCGGATGCTCCGACCGCACAAACTTCCACACAGCCTTTTCTGCAAATACACGCGCGCCGAAAAATGCCGTACTTGTTGACTGAGAAGCTTCTTCTAGAGTTACTGGGTTCCATACTGTCTCGTTATATGTTTTTTTGCGAGCTCGTTCTCCACCAGGTGGCACCACACATGCAATGGATGAAGTGACAACCACCTTGAGTAAATTGGGGCCACCTGCATGGGCAGCCTTGAGAACGGCAGTAACTGCTGCTACAGCAGGCTGGATAACATCTCGTTCCGGGTCAGGGCCATGATAAAAGGGAGGTGTTGCAGTATGAACCATGTACTGGATATCTTTACCATGTTTGGCAAAGACATTTGTGAAGCTATCAAAAACATTACTTGGTCGAACTACTTCGTAAATAAAGTTGCGAGAGCCGTAACGGGATTGATAAAACTCGCCCTTTTCGCGGGTCCGTACTGTACCTAGAACACGGTAGCCTTGGGCAATTAGTTGGTCGATAATATGAGCTGCAAGAAAGTTTTTTGCGCCTGTTACGAGGACAGTTGGATGTTGTTGTTGTTGTTGTTGTGATTGAGTTTTTATTGGAGTAGTCATTTTGTTGTTGTTGTTTTTTTAAGGCTGGATTTAAGACGTGAGGCTGACTATTATTACTACTACTATTATTGTTATTATTATTATTATTTTTTTTTTGCAAGTAAAAGAGAATAGAATAGAGGTTGAATATTTTGATTTTTACTGGATTTAAAATGGTTTATAGATTAAGATAAATGGATGTATTAATGTATTGATTAATATATTGATGAAAGAATGACTCTGTTCCAGCAGAGAACCCGGGGTTTGTTGTTGTTGTTGTTGTTGTTGTTGCAATGAGAATATATATATATATATATTATAAAAGATGACTGGATAAAAAAAAAATTAAATAATGGCAAATATAATTGAATTAAATATGTAAATCGTTTAGATGTTGATGTTATTCATTCATTCAACACCAAAGAAAGTTGTTTTCTTGTTTTGTTTTTTGTTTTTAAAATAACTATATAGTTAATTAATGAGATTATTATTATTATTAAGGATGGAGATTAGTTAAATTTAAGCTTTTTTTTTTTTTTAAAAAAAAAAAAAATAGAGAAAACAAAAAAAAAGAAGAAGAAGAAGGAAAAGAAATCTTTTTAAAAATTTATTAAAATAAAAATATAAAAATATAAAAATTTATTAAAATTTAATAAAATTTATTAAAATTTAATAAAATAAAAAAATTTGGAATTTTTTATTTTTTTTCTTGCTTGCCTGTTTTTTTTTTTTTTTTTTTTTTTTTTCTTATTTTCTTCTTCTTCTTCTTCTTCTTCTTCTCTTAATAAAAAAAAAAAAAATTTAGAGAGATGACTAATCCCACTGGCCTTTTTCTTCCTGAAAATTATCTTGCACGTGACCATTTCCTCTCTTTTATATTCCCCAACCATCACGAAAAAAACCCGACCAAAGCGGGGGTATTTTTAATATATATATATATATATATATGTGGAACTTATATTAAAAAAAAAAAAAAAGTATTTTGAAAAGTATTTTGAAAATCATTTTAAAATCACTTTTTTTTCATTATTCATTATTCTAATATAAATATATATATATATATATATCTGTAAAAAAAATTAAAATAAAATAAAACTTTCAATCTTGTTTTTAATCGGTGCAAAGAGACCCGCTAAAAAATAAATAAATAAATAAATAAATAAACCATTTCTGTCTGTCTGTCTGTCTGTCTGTCGGGTATCAGCCTTTGGAATTTCCTATTTTGACAATAATAGTATGAAGTCTTCATTTCCATCTTTATCTTCTTATTCTTCTTAACCATCTCTTTTATTTTTCTATTTAAAACTTCAAAATACTCAATACTTTTATTTTTATTTATTTTTTTATTTTTTTATAAAAAAAAAATAACTACTAGTATAATCATAATAATGTCAATATTTCATTTTCTCTATCTACAACCTTTTTGATTGATCCAATCTTATATACCTTTTTTCTTTTTTTAAAGTTATGTCAATATATAATAAATTCAATAAAAATAATAAAAGTACTGGGCACTTTTAGGCAACTTCCGTCTTTAAAAAAAAAACTCCGGTGTTAAGCCGAGCTTTTTTTTTTTTTGTCTAAATTTTTTTTTAGTGCGCCATCAACAACAACAACAGCAACAAAAAAAACAATTAATCAATAAGTCAAATTAAAGCCCAAAAACTATTAAAGGTCAATCAATTTGAGAGGTGAGAGAGAGAGAGAGAGAGAGAGAGAGAGAGAGAGAAAGAAGGAGAAGAAGAAAAAGGTGATGATGAAATATCAATATAAATAAAAAAAAAAAAAAAAGAAGTGAATAAACTCAGTTAAGTAAACGACCTCGTGTATTGTCGCAATCTTTTCAAAAAATGTTGGAAACTACAAAACAAAAACAAAAACATTGTTATTCTAACTATTCTAACTATTATTATTATTATTATTATTATAATAATAAACAAATTAAAAAAATATCCAATTCTATTAAATTTGACTCATTCCAGTTAAACATTTAAATATTCTCCTTCCTTTTTTTTTTTTTTTTTATAGTTTCTTGCAAATGATATGAGTTCCGGTCTTTCTTTGCACCACCGGAAAAACTTTTTTATTTTATTTTATTTTATTTTTTCTGTAATTTCTGTAAATAAAACAATATTAACATAAAAATCCGGCACTTCTTCGGAACTCACACACTTTCTCAATTAATTCTCTTCTTATTCTTTTTAAAAAAAAAATTATATATATATAAAAAAAAAAAAGTCAACCCATCTCTTTTTATTGTTCTTTTTCTTTTTTTTTTTTTATTTATTTATTTCCAACTCCTTAACTAATCTTTGGCTTTCGGGCACGGACCGGGGACCGGCCAGGTAATATCACCATCACTAACTACTACTACTACATCCTTTGAAGCCTAGGCAAAATAGAAAAGAATAACAAATTCCCACCCTCCACTATTACCATTACTATTTCCCTCTTTTTTTTTCAATTTTTTTTTTATAAATAACAAGAGCAACTTAGGTTCTGATCAAATAATCTGCCGGATAGAAAAAAAAAAAAAAAAAAAAAAAAAAAGAAAAGAAAAGAATGTTTGGGTCCTTGCCCCGGGTGTGTTTCTTCTCTAGGACATTAAGTAAATACAACAAGAATCTTTCTCTCTTTCCCTCTTTCTCTTAAAAGTCCATCGTTCCTTTTTATTATTATTATTATTATTTATTTATTTATTTATATTTCTTTCTTTCTTTCTTCCTATTTTAAAATACCGTTAAAGTAAACCATTTCTTGAATATAAATGGGTCTTTTCTACAATATTTATTTATATTGTATTACAGACTATTAGGTGGGTCGTAATTTTTCTTTTTTTTTTTTTTTTTTGACAAACAACGGTGATATATATATATATATATGTCACTGCAATCTATCACTCTTTTTTTTATTCAGACTTTTCTCTAATCGATACTCTTTTATCATTTATCTCCATATCACCTTTTTTTTTTTTCCTTCATTCTTCTTACTCCAATATTGATTTAAATTTATAAAAAATCAAAATAAAAAAAAAATAATGTTATACTTTAGGATAACATAATAAAAACTTATTTTATCGGAAAAATTACTTTGACATACAAAATATATTAATGAACAAAAAAAAAAAAAAAAAAATTGACCCGATGAGCTCCCGGAAAAACTTTCATTTTATTTTTTTTTTAGATACCCTTTCATGAGTATATATACTCCAACCTTTGCCTATTTATGAAATGATCTATCATCATTACTCTTCAATAATCATCCCACAAATCATATTGGTAAAGACTCACACTTAGTTTCCCTCTTTTTTTTTTATTACAAATTTCTTTTTTTTTTTTTTTCATTTGAAAATAATTAATGTGTAATTTCTATAGGTACTAACCCTTCTTCACACACTTTTTTTTTTTAATTCAAGGGTTTTAAAAGTATATATCACCAACTACACTATTATTATAATCTTTTAAGGTTAATGACTTTATATTTATTTGGTTTACCTTTCCACTGTAGATTATTTCGATCTATGCACCTCAGATAACCTGGGGGGATAGACTCTAAATACCGGCTTACAAGGAATAGGGGAAACTGGTTGTCATTCTCAAACCTGCCCAACTCATTTCCACTTGTCTCCACAGACCCCCATGTACTTATTAATTACTTCAGCTAAAGGAGCAAAAAAAAAAAGCCAGTATTTTCCTGCTGGCTAATTAGACTGAACGAGGAAGCGTTGGTTTTCCTGTTGACCAGAGGGTAGTTTGAGGCTTCACATTAAATGTGTACTCCCATACACACCCTCCAGACGATGGAAACATGTAAGAATTGATCTCTAGATTTTTTTACTATGAAAAATTTGTTTATTTTCCCAATATACAAATAATTAATCTTGTTTGCTTGTTTGTTTTTATTTAAGGGTTATAGAATTATATAACATCAGCATCATCACTATTGTTTGTTTGTTTGTTTGTTTTTATTCAAGGGTTATAGAACTATATAACATCAGCATCTGCGCTATCCTTTTATTGTCTGACTATGTGACTTGCCGGTTTTCATTTGTACCTTTTTAGTACGGGTGGTTTCTGTTCTGTGCGTCTCCGGTAGCCCGGGCATCATCACTATTGCATTTTTTTTCAGTTTTTTTCAGTTTTTATGAGAGTTGAATAAAATTGGACAAATTTTACCTATTTATAATCACGTGATTATTCCTTGTGGCCCAATGGCAAGGCGTTCGCCTACGATCATAAAGGTTACACAGCGAAAGATTCCAGGTTCGACCCCTGGCAGGGAAGTTCTAATTTTTTTCTTATTATAAAACATGAAAGAAAATAATTTTTTTTTTTTTCAACAAAATTATTGTAAGTAAATAAATAAATAAACAATAATAATAATAATAAAATGGGTTTAAACTTGTCCAAGGATTCAAGTTCATTGTTCACTTGTAAGGATAAATGATTCCTGAAATTTGGTAAGAGAAAAAAAAAACTAAAAAGGCTCCACCATGCATAACTAAATTAGATCTGTAATAAGAAGCACTAATGCTATTTTGAATGAAAAAAAAAAAGACAAAGCAACTTCAACTCTTTGTTCGTTAAAGCCAGCAAAAGTAGTGGTGCCACCAGCTAGCACTATGTAGTTCCAAAGGCATTCTAGGATATCTCCATCATGATGGAGATATCCAAGGTGATCACCTTTGGAAATAGAATAGAATAAACATTCCTCAGGTGCTTGCTATGTTATTTTTTTTTTTTTTTTTTTTAATCAATAATCTTTCTTTCTCGGGTACACACAAATTAGCCTAAGTTTACCCCATAAACTAACTAACTCTCTTTAAATTGTAATAATTTCATCTGTTCATAAATATCAGTTCCTTTTTTTTATTCATTAGTGTAAATAATAATATTCTATTTGTAATCTTCCTTTTTTTTTTCCCTTCTACAAGTATACCCATCGATTCTTCTTTTATTTATTCTTCATCCTCGCTATCATCCTCCATCTCACTATCCTCATCTCCACTTTCTTCCTCATCACTCTCATCATCATCACTACCCTCTACATTCTTCAACCGTGATTCATGGATTTTCGAAGCCTCCTTGGCCGCAGTATACTTGCTCACGTAGTCCGCAGCCTTGGCCTTGACATATTCCACAGCCTTTGAGTCACCAAAATCGCTCTCAAAGCCTAACCACTTTTTGAAGAAAAACTTGGCCTGCTTAAGCGACAGCTTCACCGTAGGAGTACCATCGCCCTTGACTTCGGTACCGCTTCCAACTAATCGCTCAAACAAAGACTCAACACTCTTGCGACGCTCCAACAAGTCGGCACGCACCTCTTTACTCACACTCTTCTTGCCACTAGAGGCCACCGCTGGTGCCACATTGTACTTGATTTCAAAGTCAATATAAACACCCCACAAATCAACACGCTTCTTGTATAGAGCCAGCAGGCCCTCAAATAAAGACCGGCCACGTTCAACTTCACCATACTGGTACTCATACTTGGCAAACTGTGCAACAACCTCAGCCAGTGCCCGTGTTGCGTTCACATATTTCTCGTGAATCATGTGGTTCAGCATATTCTGAGCCTTGTCCAGAACACCACGAGCCTTTTCAAGCAACTCTTCTCGCTCAGTTGCAGACTTTGATGGAACTGCAGCTTCCTTGTAATATATCTCACCGTACTTGGACCACAGTGAGGCGTCCTCCTTTGCTAGCTTCTTGCAGCAGTCCTTCATCACTTGCCCAGCTTCCTCAATATTACCAGCAGCCTGGTAAATGTTGGCCATCTTGAGGTACACAGTCTTAGAGTCCATAAACTGAAGAGCACGCTTAAATGCGTCCTTCACAGTTCCAGGGGTGCCGAAATTTGCCTCCATGTTAAGCAAAGCAATCCAAACATTCAGTTTCTCCTGCTCGTCACGGAATGAAATAGTCTTGAGAGCACGCTCAGCAATTTCTCGTGCCTTTTCAACTTCGTTCAACTGCAGCTGGAATGCCATGTAACTGATCCACACAACTGAAGAGTTGGGCTTAGAAACAAGCAACCGCTCGTAGTCCTTGGCGCTCTGTGGCGCACGTGTGTTAAGCTCGGCAGTCTTGTCTTCGACATTAATGTTGGTGCGCTTGCGGTTTCGGCGAGCACGACGAGTCTCCTTTTCGTCTTCGTCATCCTCAGCATCTGAATCTTGAGCCTCTCCAGCCTCATCATCATCGAAAAGAGAAGCAGACCAGTCAAAAGAAGCAGAGAGACCAGAGCCAGCAGCAAGACCTTCAAGAGAAGCAGGATCAAGATTCTTATCTTCGTCATCACTGTCCTCCTCTTCTTCCTCATTGTCGCTATCTTCATCGCTATCGTCGTCGCTATTAACATCAAGCATCTCTTCATCCTTGTCCTCGTCCTCATCATCCTCGTCTTCCTCGTCTTCCTCATCCTCATCTTCGTCCTCATCTTCTTCATCCTCATCAAAATACGAGGCTTTGAGGCCCAAAGACAAACGCTTCTTCTTCTCGTCAATTGCCAGAACCTTAGCCTTGACCTTATCACCCACACTAAACAACTTTTCAATGTCGGTCACAGGAACATCTGCAATTTCAGAAATGTGGCACAGACCGTCCACATTTTTGGTTCCGTTCAGCTTGACAAATATGCCGTATTCGAGAATGCGCTTGATGCGACCATCAAAAACATCACCCACCTGAAGCTCTTCAAATGTCTTGTTGCCAGTAGCAGCGTCATCAAGACCCTCACCATCCAAATGACTCTGTTTCAGCGACAAGTCGGCCTTGCCAGTCTTGGAGTCAACGCTCAAAATAACACCCTTGACCTTTTGCTTGACAACAAAGCCACGTTTCCAGTCAGCAAGGAATGCATCCGAAACGTTTTTAATTTGAACACGGGCAACAACAGAATGGCCCAACTCGACGAAAATACCACTGTTGGCAATGTTAGAAATGAAACCCTCAACAGTCTCTCCAGCCTTGAGATCGTTAAACGAGCCAATGTACTTGTTCATGGTCTTCTTCTTGCTGTCAAACAGCGATGGGCGACATGAAGCAAAAATCTTTTGGTTAGGGACGTCAACCTCAACAATCTTAACATTCAAAAAGCTGCCAACTTCTAAAGTCTTGAGCTTGGCATCGAGACCAGAGTAATCATCAACAATATCAGCGTAGTGAAGAGTGGCAACAAGTACACCACTGATGCGGACAGTCAACTTCAAGCCAGATTTCTTGATAATCTCGGCAGGAGTAACTAACCCAGCAAGAGACTCATCAATAGTATCAAACAGGGGAGCAGAAGTGCGCGTAGACAAAATCAGAGTGTTTCTCGCAGCATTCTTATTCTTGTTAGACTCAGACTCCTCAGTCTTGGGCTCAAGCTTCTTGAGTACAGAAACCTGGAGAGCACAGCCTTCAGGGAACTCCTTGCGAAGATTCTTAATCTTCTCAAGATCAGTAGACATGTCAACAGCAGCAATGTTACCTGTGAGTTTGGGAGTGATATTAACAAAGACCAGGTCGTCCTCCAGGTGATGAACAAAAGCAGTATGGACAGAACCCACTTCAATCTTCTCCAAAGCACTAACACCATCCTCCTCACTGGCTTCCAGCTTGATGAACTTGCTAGTGTTGGCAGTGGTTAATGAAGGCTTGCAAGAGCACTCAAGCACAATGCTGATGGCATCAGGGCGTGTAACGGCCAGCGACTTGGCAGACTTGGCGTTGAATGTGCCAATGATGCGAACATCAATCTCGTTACCCTCCAGGAACTTTTCGAGAGGCTTCTTGTGGTTCTCAATATCTTCAAACTTATCGTAGACTTCAGAAATATCAATGCGGCCCAGCTGGTTGTCGGCAAACTCAAGGTTCACATGTGTGTTGGTGATTCCAAGGATACGGGCCTTGGTCAGGCGACCCACCTTGTAGTCCAAGAGCTTCTTGATGGTGGTATCCACGGGGTTCAAGGCGCCACGTTGCTTTGCAATGTTAATGGCCTCTTCATCATCTTCAGCATTTCCGGTTTTAACTGAAGAGTCCTTAAGAGAGACAATAAACTTCTTCGCAGAGGGATCAACAGAAAGAACAGTACATGCAACCGTAGAAAATGTGTTAAAGTATTGTGTAGGATCCTTGACAAAAGTGTTGGAGTTGAAAAGCTCACTCTTGGGAGCAAGGGCAGTCAGCTTACTTGCGAAAGAAACAAACACACCGGTGGCAGCAGTAACATTGCTGATAAAACCATAAAGTCTTTGACCGACCTGGACATCATCAAGAGAAGCTGGAAGACCACGGGCACCATTGGTAGCCTCCTTAATCTCTTTGGCAGTCTTGACAATACTGGGCTTGGAGGTAAGAATGACAAGCTTTTTCTTCTGGTCCTTGTCCAAAACAAGTAGCTCGTCAAGAGTCTGGCCCACTTGAACCTTTTTTAGCAGAGCACGCTTCTTCTCATCAGAAGAGTCGTCAGACAGGTGCTTGAAGTTAAGAATACCACGAATTTTTTGTGGCTGAATGTCGAGGATAATGCTGTCACCAGCCTTTTCAACAACGTTACCAGAGACAATGGTCTTACCAGGCTGAATCTTTTCAAGCTCAGCTTCAATTTCGGCATTGTCGGCGCTGTTATATGTGCGGCAAGTCGCCAACATACGTTCATTCTCGACATCGACCTCAAGAATACGAACATTGACGGTTTGGCCCAAGCGGAAGTGGTCTTTAGTATTGGACACAAAGGCTTCGCTAATTTCAGAGCGGTGGATAAAAGCACGTGTATTGTTGAAAAACTCGACAATGATACCACCAGCTTTGATGGAGGTTACTGTAGCGATAGTCTTAACACCAACGGAGGATTCAGTGTAAGAAGATATTATAGGCTCTGTATAGTTGACATAAGTCTTTTTAAGAGTTAATTTGAGGCGGTTCTTAACAAGATCGATGGAAATAACACGGGCCTTAACTTTTGAGCCAGTTTTGTACTTCTTTTCAGGGAAAGCAAGCTTAACATCGGAAACGTAAAGCGAGGGGACAAAGCCCTTGATTCCATCAGACAGTGAAACAACAATGTCGCCAGTAGGCAAGATGTTGGAAACAGTAACTTGGGTAACTGCACCCACAGGAATTTCGGCAATGTTGAGAAACTCGCGCTTGAGAACAGATTCCTGAAGAGAAAGCTTGTACAAATTATCCATGTAAGAGTAGTCCAAAATACGGGCGCGATGGACAGTGCCAACACGGTATGGACCAAGAGTGGGACCAAGAGCATTTGGTTTGGAGGTGTCAGAAAGCTTGGTAATGTGTGCATAACCTTTGAGACCTTGGTAATGGACATCAAGGAAAATACCACGATTTAATTCAACATCAACGACCTTGGCATTTTCAATAATTTGTCCAACAGGAAGAGCCTCAAGAGGATCGCTTCCAGCATCTGCGCCAGAAAACGGGCTTTTAAGCTCTAAGATGTGAGGAAGAAGGGAAAGAGAAACATTGTAGCCCTTGTCAAGGTGAGGCAAGGTGTTGATAACTCTGGCTTTTATTCTGTCGCCAATAACAAACTTCTCGCGCTTGGCATTTTCGTCTTCTGAGTTGCTGGTAGAGTATCCAGGGATGTGGGATAGTGGGATAGTGCCTGTAGCATGGTCATAAATGTTGACGAAAATACCATTTGGTCTAACATCAGTGATAGTGGCATCAACGACAACACCTGCAGAGACACTCTTGATGGATTCAACGCTTGTAAGAAGTGGGACCTTTTGTGCGAGAGGGTTGGAGGTAAGAGTCAAGGTGCGGCCGTTGCCGGAAACAGAGATAATTGTAAGAAGAAGAACCTGGCCCACAACAGGGGATTGAGGAATGGAAACACCAAAAGACAGCTTGAGATCTTTGTTGGAAATAAAACCGGAAATACCATCTTTAGAGCCAATGTCAAGGATTAAGCCATGGTCCTCTATGCTGGTGACGGAGCCCTGAATAGCCATACCAGGAAGATAATCCTCCTTGGAAAGATCAGCATTAACTTGAGCGGGGTCAATGCTGAGCTCAATGTGACGTTTTTCGGCAGTACCACTGTAAGGAGAAGTGGTCGAAACAACAGTGGTCTTGACAAACTGGCCAACCTTGAAAAGAGTGTCAAGAGCAGGTGGTTCTGAGGTGTTGCTGTTGGCTTTAGACTTTGACTCGTTTTCTTCTTCATCATCGCTAGACATGTCGACATCTTCATCTTGCTGCTCAAGAATCTTGGAAAGTTGTGTAGAAATATTGGTGATGGGAACGTATCCAACCAAGCTATTTGGAAGAGAAATTACAAGCTCTAAAGGCTTGATTTTGGCAATTTGGCCAAGAATGTGAGTGCCCTGGGTAAGGCCGGCATAGTTGAGGTATTCAATCTTCGAAATCTCTTCGTCATTTGATGCAGAGAAAGACTTCTTGCCGTTGGAAAACACTTTGGCCTTTTTGGCAGCAAGAGGATTTGATTTTCTCTTCTTCTTAGGTCCTTCAGCACCAGCATCAGAACGGGGTGCAGTAGTAGGCTTGTTATTCTAAACAGAGTTAGATTTGAAATTTTTTTTTCCTTCCTTCCTTCCTTTCTTTTAAAAACTTACAGAAAACAAGACATCTTTGACAGCTTCATTAGCAGCCTGTTTCATTTCAAGAGGGGTGAGAACAGAGCCACCACCTCTGGGGAACGCGCTGTCGTCACCGAGAACAGATTGCTTCTTTTCTCGAGGCGCGGCCTCGGGTTTTTTGGCCTGGGCGGTAGAAGATTTGCCGCCTTCGGATTTAACATTTGAATTTGTAGATGCGGATCTTTTCCGCTTAACTGGCACCGCCATTGTTTGATAGATAGATATATATATATCAGTGAGTGGTGGTGGAATGTATAGTGGATAGAGGGGGAAAAAGAGAGAGAGAGAGAGAGAGAAAAAAAAAAATTAATCGCGATACTTCGAAAAATGGAGTACTAAAAAAATTTTTTTTCACACAAAAATTTTCCAAAAAAAAAAAAAAAAAATGTGGTTTGGGTTACTGCAGAGAGCCGCAACGGTTAACCCAAAACGGCAAAAGGTTGCATCACATCAAGAAACAACCGATAAGACCAAAATGGCTGACCAATTTTGTTATTTTTTATTTTATTTTTTTTAATACTTAAAGTCGCATTAAGTTCTTTGCTTTTTTTCTTTTTTTTAATGTATTTCTACTATTAAAGCTTCTTTGAATACTCGAGAAATTCACTGTAAGTCAATGAGCTTTTTTCTCCAGTGTATCGTTCTACCTCAAGGTCTGAAATATCTTCCGGACGGTCAAAAGAATGAAGCCCGGCCTTGCGCATGCACTGGCTGATTGCTTCTTCCTTGGTCCAACCCTGCTCAGTCATGACATCAGGCAAAAAAGTGGCATGGTAGTTTCGTTTACGTAAAGAAAAACTTACAATAATTCCGTGTTTTCCAACCGTCCAGTCAAGAGGGTCTTTTGCCTTTTCAAAGTTGTCTAATAATGTTACACTATAATAATAATAAATCAATTAATAAAAAAATTTTTTTTTTTTTTTCAAAATAATGATAACGACTTTGGATTTACTTACCTGCATTTAAGAGACTCAAGTTCACGCTGGGAAATGGGTGAGAATCGAGTATCGTTAAAAGCCGCAATTGCAGCATAATTCCCAGCCTCTTTTTCAAGAACGTGGGATGGACCAAAAGTACCGATGCACCCTCGTAACGAGTATAACTCATCGTCATCCTCCCCTGCCTTTTTCCTTCCTTGAGCCGAATGCTTGTCCCAAGTCACAAATAGTGGGTATTTTTTAGACGGGTCGATGGATGCGGCTCCTGCAACGCCGTTCTGGGCGTCAACCTTGAGTAACTGGGAGAGTGTATATGGCACTGTGGTTCCTTCAAGTTTGCTGAGAAGAGTGAAAAAGCAAATTGCTGGAAGAGCTGGGATTCCTTTGGCCATGATATAAAGATGATAATTATGATTTGAATAGTTTAGTAAATAAACATATGTTAATAGAAGTTTTAAGAAAAGATAGACTTTTAATATCGCCACTTGGGAAATACCGGTTATCGCAGGAATCGGAACTAGACAGAGTGTAACAACTAGTGTAACAATAATTATATGTTTATGGTAGCTAAATAGCCACCCTATAATTTGTCTCCAGTTTTTTTTTTTTTTCTTTTTCTTTCTTTCGTTCAAATTACTTTTGTTCAATAATTTGAATAAACAAAATTATTGTGCATTTCATAAAAAAAAAAAAAAAAAAAAACTAATAGCCAATACGAGCTGCCAAAAAATATACAAAACTTCAATAAGCAATTCTAAAGAAACGAGATTTTTTTTTTTTTTTAAAAAGCACATGAAATATGGCAGCTACTTTAATTTTTAAATGTAGGTAATATCGATGGTTTGAGACTAGGATATGGCATTGCAGTTTATCCCTTGCTTTTTCCATCTATATTTTTTTTCTCTAAATTAATAAAATAATTTTTTATTTAAATTATTATTATTATTATTGTTTTATTTATTTTTTTTTTTTTGGTAAATGGAGTATGCATTGGCTCCTTTGACAGCCCATGTAAGACCTTATAAAACCCCTTAAGAGTTGATCCTCTTTCTTTTTTAGAATAAATAATCCAAACCTGGTTGAGTTTAGATTACCAAAATTTTTTTTAACCTCCATAAAGGTTCAAATAAAATCTAAAAGTAAACACAAATGAATTTTTTTTTTATTTTCTAAATTTTTATTTTCAAAATTTCATTTAAATTATTTGGTCATTTTCCTACTTAACAAATAACTCTCATCTTCTTTTCAAAGCATTGGGACATAATCGCTTATTCAAACATGTAGTCATATTGTATCCTCTGGCATCCTTTTCTTGTTCTAAAAGATCGATACATTGTTGCACAGTGTACCCTTTTGAAAGACCATATTCGATTGCCCTCCAAACATAGCGCCGGCGCCAGTATGTACCATTTTTGTGGTTGGTCCATGTGTCGCCATACATATTATCCATTGTTTGGATCGAGTGTTTATTCAAAATAGGTTTTTTGTATTCGTTCCAAATCTCAGAAAAGGACTTTGGATGGAAAATAAACTTAAACTCAGGACCCGAGTAACGTGTTATTTTGTGATTAGTGTTTGGAGAAGATGGGGAAGAAGCATGGCCAGGTGAACCAGCAGAAGCCGGGCTTGCGGCGGCAGCTGCAGCAGCAGCAGATTTTAAACTAGAAGATCTGGTGGAAGAAGTTGTTGATACAGAGCCGGAAGCAGAAGCAGTTGTTTTTGAAGCTGGGCGGATGGCAATGTTTGCCGGATTTGGGGAAGATCCAACCACAGTCTTAGTAGCAACTGAAGCTTTGGGTACTGATGAAGAGGAGGTTGCGGTATTGTGTGCTCCAGTTTTTTGTGAAGCCGTAGAGGCAGTTGAGGAAGCAAGAGAATTATTATTTGGAATAGCCAAAGAGGATCCTGAGGTCTTAGTGGATGCTGATGATGAAGGCGATAAATTGGAATGTGTAACGGGAGCAGGAAGAGATTCAGAAGTCGAAGATATTGTTGATAAAGAAGAAGAAATGAGCGGGGCGGAAGAGGAAGACGATAAAGTTTTAAGTCTTGTTGTCCGAGCCGGTGTTGTTTTTGTAACTCTAGCTTGAGCCGCTGAAGCACTAGGGATAGTAGGCTGAGAAGTCCCAGAGACAGCAGCAGCAGTAGCAGCAGAAGCAACAGAAGCAGCAGCAGCGGTAGTAGTTGAAATAGATTTAGTTGATATTTTGTTGGAAACAGGTTTTTTTGAAATTGCACGTTTCTGTCTGCGCCCACGAGCTGCACGTCCGGCAACACGGCGCTCTTTATTTACAGAAGAAGATACCGGATGAGGCGAAAAAGATTCGGATTCACTAGATTCTTCAGAAGAATCGTCGTCTTCATCAATGTGGTAGGATCCTGAATAGCCCGGGTAGATTTGGCCAGGCTGAATGAGAGATTCTTGTAAAATGTCCATCATATCAGCAAACTTATACTTGAGGGACTGGATTTCATTTTGAATATATCGGTAGTTTGTTTTCAAGTTAGAATTTACTTGGTCGAGTTTGTTGTCGATGCTTTTGTTGATTGAATAAATAACACCTGCCAAGATGTCTTCAGTCAAGACAAAGGGCGTTGGTGCTGTCGCGGTTTCCAAAGAGAGAAGAGACGCGTCTTTTGTGGACAAAGCTTGGATAGATCGAAGTTGGGTTTTGATTGGTTCTAAACCAAGACTGGTGATTTTAGTGAGAGGAGGAGGAGGAGCTACTGAACCATTTTTGGAAGAAGAAGATTCTGGATTTTCTGTAGGAGGTTGAATATCCAAAGTTGAAGATGAAGGAAGGATTGGTATTATTCCATTGCCATTGATTGGATTTTGCACAATCAACTTTTCATTGTCAACCAGCAGGTGATGTACAAACAAAAGGCGGATAGAGCTAAAATAGGCATCATCAAAAGTATAAGTGACAACGGAGTTATCGATTTCAAAGTTGGAGGCAATGAGGTTGACATTTTTTGCGCAGATGATTCCACTATTGGGAGTCTTTTTAAAAGTAGGGTCATTTTCGCCATTGTACTTGACTGTGTATCCTGTGCGTTTTGTTACAAATATTTCCACGTCGCATTGATAAAGGGTGTGAGCCAGTTTCTGAAGGTCAATTCCGTATTTATCGGCAAAAAACTTGGGTGGATAGCTGGGGTCTTGGATGCTGCTTTTAGGGGTTTCATCTAGGTCATAAGGGTCATAATAGAAGCAATCGATACGCGGTAGAGTGGGATGGCAGACCAGAAGCAAACAAGTCCAATGAGTGTTTGATTCATTTTTGCAGAGGGGGAGGATAATACCATGAGAGCGGGCTATTTTGCGTTGAAAGGCAGCGTAGAAGGCAGTTTGCTTAATTTGGGGTTCGTAATCAGCATAAGTTTCTGGACCACACTTGCTGCTTTCGAGCAATAGGAGAGGCATGCTAGAACGGTTAAGGTCTTCGAATAAGGTTTCTGAGGGGAACTGTCGTTTTTCATAATAGTTTTCAATGTTGATTTGCCCACTTTCTTGAAGCATGAGAAGGATTAGATAGTGTACATCTGCTTCTGTGAAGGATTCAGTCCCCGAAATTCCAAGGGCATGTTCCTTTGGAGGAGGACGATATGGGTTTTGAGGAATATCCAAGAATAGCTGGCCTGATATTTCAGATGAACTCATTGTTTCGAATGAATGATTGAATGAATGAATAAATTAAATGAATTGGATGAATATATATAAATATAAATAAATATAAATAAAAGAACAAAGAATAGTTGAATAGAATAATAAAGAATGTATGGATTTTAGATTAATATTTTTTAAAAAAAAAAAAAAAAAAAAAAAAAAAAAAAAAACAACAAACAACACAAGCAACAGTGACAGCAGCAGCACTAAACGCCCACAGATGATTTATGAGGACTTTGTTTGCAGTTGAGCTGTATGAACAGGGAAGTGATGGATTAAGCAATGGTATAATAATGAAAAAAAAAAAAAAATGGTGGTGGTGGTGGTAGTGGTGTGAAAAGACAGGTTTTAGGAAGGCTTCTGGAAGAAACAATAATTGACTTGATTGATTGTAAGCGCGCGCACGGCCAACATAAAATCTTTGTGAAGGATTGCTATGAGGTGCTGTTTGTTACCACCAAGAAAGCCCAAAAAAAAAAAAAACACGCGCGCGGGTCGATGGCCTTTTTTTTTTTTTTTTTTTTTTGTTACTTTTCTCTTTTGTAACAAAATATATAATAATAATAATATTATTATTATCATTGTAATATATAAAAAAAAACGTAATATAACCCTAACCCGTTTACCGAGATGCGGCTGGTTCACTTAAAAATTTTTTTTTTTTTTTTTTAAATTTTTCATTTCAAAAAATTTCAAAAAATTTTAAAAAATAAAAAAAAAAAAATATTTCTCAGTTAAAAAAACAAAAAGTAATTACTTTTTTTGTTATAACGTTGCATTTTGTGTGTAAAATAAAAAATAAATAAAATTAAGTACGTTCACGTAAACTTTTGTCAAATCTAAAAAAAATTAAATTAAATTAAATTAAATTAAATTAAAATAATATTAATATTATCTCTAATATTGGAAAAATAAATGTTGAAAAAAAAAATTATTATTATAATGCAAAAATCATTTTACCTAAAAAAAACTTTATATTTATATTTATATTTAAATATAAATATATATAAATGAAAAAAAAAACGACTTTTAAATATTTCAATTTTTCTATCAATTAAATAAACGTTCTATTCTCTTTTTTTTTTTTTTTTTACTGATGAGCTGGCGTTTTTTTTTTTTTTTTTTTTTGCAATTTCACGTGAAATGACATTTTTATATATGTCTCCGCATTTTTCACTCCTAACAATTTTTTTTTTTTTTTTTTTCAACAACAATCAAATCAATTAAAAATCAATACCCTGAATTGCTTTTTCTTTTGAAATAGACCCTTAATATTAATTTTTTTTCTGAGTCATCTGTTTCTTTTAAATATATAAATACGAGTTAATTTCTTTTAATTCTTTTTCCTTTTTTTTTTTTTTTTTTTTTTCATCATGGCTACTAAAAAATCAACAGTTCTTAAAGACAAAAAACCTCGACTTTTAAGAAACAAGAATAAAAAAACAAAATCTTCATCTTGGACATTTGAAAACCCTTCAACTTACTATTCACTTTTGATTTTTGCTATCTCTTTTATTTTCGCTGCCTTAATGTCTTCAATTCTCGGTAATAAAGGCGTCTCTGCTGAACAAGTCAGTGTCGCATCTTTCTTGGACCCCACAACAAACGCTATTGATATCAAGGAAAACCAAGATTCACACGTCTCTATTAGCTCTGTTGAAATCTCTTCCGAACAAACTTCCGACAATGAAGACGCCCAAGTCGTTGAAGAATTGGTCGACGATGACCATAAGATCAAAACAAATTATCAACCAAGCACTATCTCCCCAACTCTAAATGTTCCTGAAAACGCTCAAGTGGCTACTTTCGCCGCAGGATGCTTTTGGGGTGTCGAACACATATTTCGCCGCTATTTTGCCCAAAACTTCTTAACTAATGACAATTCTCTCAACAAAAACTTTATCAAGCGTGGTGGCCTTATTGATGCTAAAGTTGGCTACAGTGGTGGTAGAAACTCTTCCATCTATCCATCCTACAAGCAAGTCTGTAAAAATAACACTGGCCATGCCGAAGTCCTACAGATTTCTTTTGATCCTAAGATTGTTTCTTACAAAGATCTCGTTGATTTCTTTTTCCGCATTCATGACCCTACAACTTTAAACCAGCAAGGCCCTGATGACTTTGGCGAACAATACAGATCTGCCATCTTTTACCACAATGAAGAACAACACAAAATCGCAAATGACATTTTGAAAAAATACCAGCACGATTGGTATGACCCTGCTGGTCTTAAGATTGTCACTCAAGTTGAACCAATCAAGGTTTTTTGGGATGCCGAAGTGTATCACCAACTTTACTTGAAAAACAATCCTGAAGGCTACATGTGCCCATCTCACCATTTGAGAACAGAGCCTCCTCTGCCCAAAAAAGACGAACTTTAATGATTTTATGATACAAACAATTTTTAGAATTTTAATTTTTTTTTTAAAAGAACCATATTTATAAATATATATATAAGCAAGTATAATAGAAAAAAAAAATATAACCAAAAGATTTAATAACTATTGTACATTCAATTTTTTTTTTTTTTTAAACGAGTGAACAAGAAACCTGCATGTTGACTTGGGTTAAAAAAACACCGATTGAAAACGCCTATTGAAGTGGATAATTGAAAACATCAGAAACTGACGAATGTGACTGTTGATTCGGAATTGCCTGCTCTGCAGGAACCTGAACTTGAACAAGTGTCTGTGAAGAAATAAGTGGTTGCTGTTGTAAAGGGGTCCCAAGAGATGGCTCTATAATCATTTGATTATGTGGCATTTGTATGTGAAGACTAGATTGTCTTAAAGATTGTGGTTGCTGTTGTGGTGGAAGTGGTTGCTGTTGTGGTGGAAGTGGCTGCTGTTGTTGATTTCCAGAATTTTCTAAATGTCTTTGAACCTCTTCATGCTGCTGCTGCTGGAGCTCTTGCAATTGCCGCTGAATCTCTTCAAGTTGAGTCTGTGGGTGATTTTGAGACTGAGGCTGAACACCCGGTTGCCCATTTCCACCAACTACCTGAGCTGTGGATTGTATTTGCATCGATACCTGAAGATTCGTATGTACAGGCCCTTGCGGCGAAATTTGTGGCTGTTGCTGTGAATGATGCATAGCCAAGTCCTGCTGCAATGCACCATCACCAGTAGACCTATAGGTCATTATGTCTTTCAAATTATCATATACGATTGTCATGTTTTGCTGCTGTTGCTGCTGTTGATGTTGATGTAGCTGTTGCTGTAGCTGTAGCTGTTGCTGTAGCTGTTTTTGCTGTTGTTGTTGTTGTTGCTGCTGTTGATGTTGATTTGTAGAATTTAATGGAACGTTTTCTGGCTGAATCATCTGTTGTGGAGTTTGAACTTGATGAACCTGCGGTAGTGATGAAGATACTTGAACCGTACGGGCATGAGATGAAGTCACTTGGTCAATCAAAAAAGCGGGGACAGAAGAAACAGGGACAGAAGAAGCGGATGCCACAAGTGAATCTGGGGTTTCTAATGAAAAACTCAACGATCGCATAGAAACTTGCACTGTCGGCGTTGATGGAGCAGAAAGAATGTTTGAGATGGGTGTGGCAACTACCGATGGTGCTACTGTAGGAACAGCAGAAACAGCAGATGAAACAGAATTAGAAGAAGAAGCACTAGTAGAAGCCATCAATGAAGCCGCATGGATTGCTTTCGCTAAATCTGCATCATCAACTTTGGGATGCTCCGTCATAATCGACATGGAATTCATAGGGAAAGAAGCAGCGTTATTCACAGATGTCAAAGGAAGAGGTAGACTTAACGATGGCCGCTTGGAAGACTCTGCACTATGCACCGGAGTTCCAATATTTGAAGAGTGCTGCTGCTGATATTGAGGATGATGACTTTGCTGAGAAACATTCACAGGCTGGAAAGCATTAGCGTCACCCTCAACAATAGCTGATGAAGATGGTAATATATCTGCTACTTGAGTCTGAATCTGCCCTGATGAATTTGGCAAATATGAAATAGCAACAGTTGGAAAGCTTTCTGTAGGATTAGATGTCTGAGGGGATACCATTGTAGAGCTAGACGAAACCAAAGTGTTAAGCTGGGGATTTGGAATTGCTGGCATAACATTTATACCTGACATTGACTGAATGCCTGTAGTTGGATGGTGATTTCTGGATGAAGACAAATTCCCAGCAAGCATCGACGAGCTGTTTTGAAAACCATGCAAACCTTGTGCTGACGGTGACATTACGGGTATCGAGCTTGAGCTTAAAAGCTGGATGGGTGTATCTGGAGGGAAAGTGACCAAAGACATAGGAGGATCAGAAACAACTGGTGTTATCGGGGATTGAAGTCCAGAATTGGGGAATGGTGGAATAACACTCGGTGAAATTTGGCCATTATCAAAATCACTAACGATCATTAATTTCCCAAGACGCTTTTTAGTATTTGGAAAATATTCATCCCTCAAATCACTGCTAACCGCATGAACTGTTTTATTCGAGGACAAAAAAGGTGGCCTAGGTGCAATTTGACCACTGGGTGTTAAACATAAATCCTGTCCTGTCATCTCAACGTCTTCATTTTTAATCCTTTCACATGACGTGTTTTCAACTTTATGAAACTGTATCTGTGCTTGTAAAGTTGATGAATGAGAAGAATCATCAGGAATGGCTACTGGTGCATTGGTTAAATTTAATGAAGCAGAGTTAGTTGAATGACTACCCAAAGCTTTTGACTCTTGTGACTCATCATCAGACGTAAGGTTTTGTTCAATCCACTGAAGTGCCTCGTTGATAACATCCCCCGTTTTATTGATATTGTCTCTCAACGCTTTTGTTGTCAAATCACGCTGATTAAGATCGCTGGCAATCCAGTGAGTATCTTTGAAAGGTGGCGACAGCTTTTTAATCAATGTTTGTATCAAATTGCGATGTGTAGATTCATTTTCCAGCATATTTCCAGCACTCATACTAAGAAAATCAGAAACCTCCTTTAAATGAAGTGTAAAATTCCGAATAGTTTCAAAAGCCTTCTCTTTAGAAGATATCAAAGGAAACTCAATCTTCTTTTCTAATGGGGTGACGGGCAGTGCTGAATTATAAGGATAGTTTTCAGCAGCATGATCAACATATAAACGAAAATTTTTGGCTTCATAGGCGCAAACTTTAGATATAGTGTAGGGTAAGTTTTCAAACAGTTTTCTGATAGGAGTATCTGAAAAACCATCATAGACTGAGAGAGGATGGATAATCTGCTTCTTGGCTTCGACTAGAGGGTATAATTGATCAATAATTGTTTTCTTAACTATGTCTCTATCCAGAGGAGACAATCCAGTTTTTTCCCAGCCAGCTGTAATACTTTCTGGAGAATTGTAGGAAAGCGACCTTGCATTTTTGACCAGATGTAAAAGATCAAAACTGTTTATAGAGGAGAAATCAGCATCACCATCGACGTCTTTAGCCTTGTTATTGAGAAATTTTTTTTGAGAAACCTTAGCAAGTTCGTTGACGAAATTGTGGAAAAGTGGGACGGAGTCAAGAGGCTGAAGAAAGTGTGATACTTCAGAAGGAAGAAACAAAAGAAGAACCTTATTTTCTCCAGCTAGCTTCAAAAAGTTGCTAGAAAAGTGACTAATATGAGTATCAACAATTAGAGCTCTATATTCGCCACCGGCCGTAAAATTAGTCAACGGAAGAAAATGGTCCTTAAACCAATTATCGGCTGTTTTATCACTGGGCCAGCCAGAATTTGACGGTGAAAACTTCCACCCAGGAAAGTCGTTGGGGTATTTACTATAAATGTCATTGAAATCTTGAGACTTTTCATTGTAAATCAGGTATGGAGGTAATGAAGCGCCACTCATACTGACTGTTTCAATTATAGTAAAAATTGCGTCATTTCCATCAACCGAATAAACAGCTTCACTAAGTGGTCGTCTAAAAGTTGTCGAATCTAAGCTTCTGTTATTGTCGTTGTTATAATCCTCGTTAAACCTAAAACCAATTTCGTCCATAGTGTAAATATTTTCTGGTTTTAAGTTTAAATTTTCAAACTTTTCTTCAATGTTGCCAAACCACGCTTCAAAAAAATCAGGATTAAACGTTTTCCAGGCTCGAAAAATATTGTTTGCATCGCCAAAACAAGAATCCGAAGAATTTTCAGAGTGCTGATTTGAATCTGAGGATCTGGAATCTGAAGAGGTATTGCCTTTTTCTAATAAAATACGCTTGTTGCAAAATGAGTTGATCCATCCAATATCAATCTTTTTTGAAGACCCTTTGCTCTGCAATAAATGATTAATGCGGTCAAGATGTGCCTTAGACGAAATACCCAACCCAAGAAGTTTATAGGCTGAAAACATTTTTGATATCAAATAATCTTCAAACTCGGTAGTTCTGGAACGCTTCTCAGATGTTTTGCGGGAAGAGGGATCCCCAGCCTTGCGTCGTTTACGAAGTGTTGCTTCAGGAATTTTATATTTTCTACCTGCTCCACGAATAGTCATGTTATTAAACTCGATTTCATGGATAGCATGTGCAATATTTATCTCTGGTGAAGGTTGAGGGTCGTTGCTTTTACGTTTTAAACGATTAGAGGCAGATGGGGTACCGGGATTTTCAACTATTTGCTTTGTTAAACCGGGGTCGGAAGTTTTATTTACTGTTGACGTAGAGACAGAAATTATTGGTTGTAAAGATGGCGCAGCACCCTCAGAATTTACAGCTGAATGAATGCCTAAAGGAGTGCTTTGCTTTAATGGTGTAGCTGAAACAAAAACAACATTAGGATGGGAAAGAGAATTCCTAGCACTCATGTTATCCGAATCATAGCATGAAACAGAACCATCTTTAATTTGAGATAAAGAATTAGACTGATGCTGCTGTTGATCGAGTACTTCCACATCAGACAACGTGGTACCGGCAGATACCGATGTATGTAATTTATCGACGGAATCTGTTACCGTAAAGTCTTCGCTTATATCTGGTGGCATCGATAACAAACTGGAATCAGTTTGAGAAACCCGCTTCATGGTGTACTAGTCTGCACAAATATGTAGACAGGGCTTTTAAAATTTTAATTTTTTGATGGTAATAGTTGATCTAATGGGAGAATCATAAATAAAGAGCCTGGTGGAACAGTTGAAACAAAGGGCAAACAATAGTGAAGAAAAAAACAACAACAATAAGGGCTCCGCAAAGACAACCGTTATAATAATAAAAAAGAAAAAAAGAGAAAATATTTAAAAACAAGAGAACTGAGGTTTTGAAGCCGGCTTTTCCATTTCCTAATAGCTATGCTTACTAGGGCTTAGCTTTTTTAATCTAGAAAGAAACGTTTTAGGACTTTTTTGCATCACAAAATAGTAATTACATAAATATTACCAATCCATTACTTAAAAACACATATAGACTGAACTGTAATGTAATCTTAGTTTATGTAATAAACCATTTTAATAATATGACAAATATTTCAATGCATATTAAATAAGCCTTTATAATAATAATTATGTCTATTAAAGTGAGTTTTTAGATTTAATACTTTAAGTATTATAATAATACTGATTGGTATAAGTAAAAATAGGGTCTATCATAAAAATCAAAACTTTTGTTATGTCTGATACAAAGCAAAAGCCTACTTAAAAAACAATTTTAAAAAACTTTGGTAATCCTGATTTTAAATCAGTAAGAGATATCTGCAGGGAGAACTCCTTGATTTAACCAGAAGATTTAAACAAGTTACGTAAACCTTAGGTTAATATAAACTAAGTTTACTTTTTTATTCTCGTTTATGTTTTTTAAACTAAATATAAATATAAATATAAAGTTTTGAGTTTTTTTTCATAAAAATCCATCTTAACTTTTCAACAACTTTGATCTATAATTTAAATTTTTTTTTAATGAGCTTGCTATTTCTTGACCTCCCTTTTAAGGCTGTCTGAAAAAATAAAAAAAATTAGAAGAGGTGTATTGAACCAAAAATCAAGATTATAAATACAGGATGATTTCTGGATTTATAAAAATCTAATCGTAATATTTTAACGTTGTAAAAACAATACACAACTAAATATTATTTTTATTTCAAATTTATAGGGTTAGCAAATTAATACAGATAATCTAACATCTAATTGAAAAATTAAAATAAATATTTAGATACATTTAGCTGTAGTCATGATTGTCATTAAACAGCTTTATGGATGCATTCACTTTTTATTGCCTAATTCAAGGAAGTTATCAATATTCTTTATTTTACAAATAGAATAATTTAGATTTGGATTTTTCTAACAAAATTAACTTCAAAAGAGAAATTGAACTAATTTCAATAAAAGCTTTTCAAATTCATCATCCGAATATCCAAATTTTCTATCTTCCAATATTGAATTAACCAGAAGTTCTTCTTTTAAAGATTTTGATTTTTCTAAATATATTAAGCTCACTGAATCTTCTGAGTCTTCTGAGTCTTCCGATTCTTCCGATTCTTCCGATTCTTCCGATTCTTCTGATTCTTCTGATTCTTCTGAGTCTTCTGAGTCTTCTGAGTCTTCTGAGCTTTTTTCTGGGGTATATTCCTTTTCTGAATTAAATACAACATCGATTAATTCCACCATTTTAAATGGTGTATTATCTACGTCTTTTCTATCTGATAACGATACAAGTATTAATCAAGGTAAGGCATTACCAACAAGTGTCAAAACTGAAATATTAAACAGTTCATTAGTTTCCAACTCAACTCTTCAATCATTGACTGGTGGTCCCAATTAACAAATAACTCTTTCCAATATTTATACTAGTGTAAAAAGCTCAGTAAATGTTAATTCCGAGTATACCCAATTTATTTTTCAACAGTCACATTTTCTTTCTTATTTGCTCATTAGCACTTCAACATATTCTACAAATTCTGAAATAAAATCTGCAAATGGTAGCTTTGGCAACCCAGGTTTCAAGGCCATAAAACAACAAACTTCAGGTGGAAGCGACTTTCGCAATTCAGTCTTTAGATTTGAAGAAGTGTCCTCGTTTGCCATTGATACAATATCCCCAAATACAACAGAGACCAGAGACAACTTATTTTCAAAAATTGCAAACACTTTTACTGTGGCATCTCAGATTGCAACAGCATCAATTTCCCATTATAATAATGTTCGAGTTGTCATTCAAGTAACTAGCATTTCTAATGTTGAGCTTTCAAAAACTGGAAAGGTGCTTCCGATACCCACTGAGACCAACAATATTTTCCAAGTTAATGGGGCTCAAGATTTTAGTTGTCCAAACTTTTATTTGGTATCGATTATTCCCATATTGTTGATATTTCGGAGCTAATATTACTTCAAAATTTGGTGGGAATATAAGCACAAATATATATATATATATAGTTTTTGAAATTATAAAGATTAAAAGAATAAAAAAATTCAATATATTCATTAACATCAAAAATAACAAATAAATAAAAATTGAATTTTTAACACGATTTGATCAAATTGTTTAAAATAAGCCTATACTTTATTTTAATATAATAATAGTTTTTTAAAGGCTATTAATGGTATTAATTTTAGCAAAAATGTGAGTTTTACGATGAATGATGAAAGCAGAGTTTTTATTGTAATAATTTTTACAGCAGCATATTGCATAGCCTTAGGTTTGACTAACAAAAATGAAGTTAAAGTAACTTGAATTAGCTGGCTCCAATAACAATAAAATTGTTACATAAAATTGTTACATAAAGTTGTTACATATTTTAACACTTCAGTTATGTTTTGTAATTGTTATATACTTTTTTTTTAAAAGCCATTTACCCCACCTTAAATTGGTCATCACCCCTCTCCCAATACTCTTGCCATTTTTATTATCACCGAGAAAAGAAAAAGCACTTTCAAATTAAAAAAAAAAAAAGCCGGAATCGTCATAATATATTAAATAAAATACAATGGCTGGGCAGTCCACTATGCCAGGACTGTTGCAGTCGGGCCTAGTATATTACGGCAATCACCGGAAACTTTTATCGCGCACAATATATATTGCTACCTTTTTATCTGTGATTAATCGAATGCGCATTTCTGTTCACGATCAGAAAAACAAGAAAAAAACCAAACCTGAAACTACAGAAGATGGAGCTACAAATTTAGGTGCTAAGAAAAACGAACGAGTGGAAGTTGACGCTCAATTCTTCCGTCGGATAGCTCGCTTGTTACGCATCATTATCCCCAGAGGAGCACTGAAGTCTAAAGAACTTTGGATTCTGGCCATGCACTCTGGATTCCTCGTTCTTCGAACCATTCTGTCACTCTACATAGCAACACTCGATGGTAAGCTTGTTGCGGCACTCGTTAAAGGCCGTGGTCGCGAGTTTTTGTTGGGCCTAGTGTGGTGGATGTGTGTTGCTATTCCCGCCACGTTCACAAACTCTATGCTGCAGTATTTACAGGGCACGCTGGCGGTGCGGTTTCGGGATCGATTGACTTCATATATTTTAGAACGATATTTGCCTTCCGAGGAGAAACAAGAATCTGAGAATGAAGAAGAAGAAGAAACTAATGAAAATGAAATTTTTGAGAAATATGCCGATGATTACCAATTTACCAAAGATTTTTCTCAAAGAAACTCCAAACTACCACAATCAAAAGAAGCAACTTCTAGAAGAAGGACCAGGAAAGTTGCTAAAGATCCAAACATTCTAACAACGCCCATGTACTATGCGATCCACAATCTCGACGACAGAATAAGAAATGCGGACCAGCTCATCACAGCAGATGTTGCTCGGTTTTCCACCTCTTTAGCGCAGTTATACTCCAACCTTGCGAAACCGATTTTGGATATGTTCCTCTACTCATGGCAGCTCTCAAGATCTGTTGGTGGTGAAAGTTTATTTGTCATTGGAATGCTTATCCAAGTCTCGGCTCACGCGCTACGTGCGCTGACACCACCGTTTGGCAAATATGTTGCCCAAGAAGCTGCGTTAGAGGGCGACTTTCGGTTCCAACATACGCGAGTTATTGATGCATCGGAGGAAATTGCTCTCTATCGTGGCCAGCAGCTAGAGAAAATGACGCTTGATCGGTCGTACTTTGCACTCATCAAGCACGTGAACAGGATTCTGCGGCGCCGTCTGTACCACGGGTTTATGGAGGATTTCGTTGTCAAGTATTTTTGGGGTGCGCTGGGGCTTGTGCTTTGCTCTGTCCCTGTATTTCTTAAAGACTTGCCGTTTTTGTCGGGCGCCATTGAGGTGCTTGAAGCAGCAGAGAAATCCAAAGGATCGTCTGTGGCAGCAACAAGTGCCGAGAAAGTTGCTGCAGGTATGGGCGACCGGACACAAAGCTTTGTGACAAACCGACGTTTGCTTATGCAATCGTCTGATGCCTTTGGACGCATAATGCTTTCATATAAAGAAATTGCACAACTGGCAGGATACACAGCGCGTGTTTGCACATTGCTTGATGTCATGGAAGATATTAAAAATGGCAAGACTGTGAAGCACATGATGTCACCGGAACAAAGCCGAACTAAGGGCGTTTCCATTTCAAACCTCGACAACATCACCGACAAGGCGGTAGCGCCCGCTGTTTCTGAGTTTAGTACACCCAAGGGCAAGGTCATTTTGGGGGATGATATTATATTCAAAAATGTGCCAATTGTGTCGCCCAATGGTGATGTGTTGATCCGATCATTATCGTTCGAGGAGCGCCACGGTCACAACCTATTAATTGTAGGTCCCAATGGATCAGGGAAGTCATCTCTGTTTCGAATTCTAGGTGGTTTGTGGCCTGTGATGGGAGGAGAGGTTACAAAACCCCGGTCGTCTGACTTTTTTTACATTCCGCAGCGGCCATACTTATCACGAGGGACCCTACGCCAGCAAATCATTTACCCATGTTCCGAGCAAGACAATAATAAGTCTGACGGCGAACTGCTGGAGATTTTAAAAGTGGTTGAGATTGACGACTTGATCACGTCTGGTGCATATGGGTGGAATTCTGAGCGGGAATGGAAGGAGGAACTGTCGATGGGTGTTCAGCAGCGGATTGCCATGGCTCGGTTGTTTTACCACTGCCCTAAGTTTGCCATTTTGGATGAGTGCACGTCGAGTGTTAGTTTGGAAATTGAGCGTATCATGTATACTCATGCCACCCAGTTAGGAATTTCGTTGTTGACAGTTTCACACAGACCTAGCTTGTGGAAATACCATGATAAGATCCTGCAATTTGACGGACACGGCGGGTACGTGTTTACGGATCTTGATGCAGAGAAACGCCTTCGTTTGGAGGAGGAAAAGCTCAAAATTGACTTGAATTTAAGGGCTGTGCCTGAAATGGAAGCCCGACTGGAAATGCTTAAACAACTACAAGGCAAAGATCAATAAAAAAAATCATTTAGGTCTAATTTTGTAGCAACTTTATATATTTTTTTTATAAATTTTGAATGATTATGAAGTTTAAAGAAATTAAATTAAAAATTGATATAGCTATAGAAAAAAACAGTAAAAATACATAAGAGATTTTAATTAAATTATGGTTTTTTTTTTTATTTTTTTAATTTTTTTTTAAATTTTTTTTTTATTTTTTTTTTTTGGAACAATCTCAATTAATTTATTTTGTCAAATATTAAAAAAAAAAAGCGTCATTTTGGATAAAAAAAAAAAAAGCCTGCACCAAAAATTATGTTTATTTCACCTCCTCAGTGAACAGTGACACGTATTCACCACCAGATGGAGCAGCAGTTGCAAGAGGCTCAGTTTCCTTGGCCTCTTCAGGAGCTTCCTTTTCAACTTCGGTAGTATCTTTCTTTTCTGTAGTCTCAGCCTTTTCCACATCAGTCTTCAATGCATCTTCAATATTTGATTTGTCATTTGCATCATCGCTATCTTGAGAAAAGCCAGAGAAGGTACGCTCGTGCTCGTAAATCTCAGAAGGCTCTTCGGTAGGAGCAGAGGGTGGGATAGAGCTGGCACTGGTGGTGGTAATGGCAGCACGAGCTGCAGCTGCAGCTGCACCGGCAGCGGTTCCAGAAGCAGAAGCTGTTGTGGAAGAAGAGGGACCAGCAGCACTTGATGAGGGACCAGAAACGCTAGAAACAAATTTTACTGGTCTAATAGTTTCAACCTTGGTTTGCGTCTGTGGAGCACGAGCAGCAGCGGCGGGGCTAGCAGCAGTCTGTGCAGCAGTCTTAGAAGCATTCTTAGAGGATCCATTTGTTGTAAGGGCATTCTTCATCTTTCTAAAAAATTTTCGGGAGCGCGAAGTCGAAGCTGTAGAGACAGAAGCTGATGTAGTAGCAGGAGAGATCGAAGCTCCAGGTGAAGTTGGCGAAATAGGAACAGCCTTGGGAGATGTGGTAGTGACAGGAGTTACCGGTGTTGCAGTGACAGGAACAGGAACAGGAACAGGAACAGCAGCAACAACGGTGGCCGACGTGGTTTTTGTAGTAGGGACAGTAGTATCTAAACTTTCATCTTTAGCAATAGGCTTTTCAGGTGTCTCGGGAGTATCCAAGTCCTCAGAAATCTTTGGTTTGGACTTGCCCTTGTCTAGAGATGGAGTGGCAGCTCTACTTGTGTTGGAAGTACTTGGAGTCAATGTCTTGACATCCAATTTATCCTTAACGTCATCGGTAGTCACAGGGGCTGTAGTGGTTTTAGGAGAGGGTGTTTCAACTTCCTTAGAAACGACAGGAGCTTCCCCAATAGGAGTAGTCTCAACTGCCTTAGAAACAGGAACGGGGGGAGCAGAAGTAGCAATAGTAGATTCTTTAGGCTCTTCCACCTCTTCATCAGCAACTTCTGCGGTAGCAAAAGAAGAGTCAGAGCCGACAGTATGAGAAACAACAGGGACAGGGGGAGCAATTGCTGTTACTGTGGTGGTAGCAGGTGTAGTAGTGGCCTTGAGAGGATCAGCGAAAGCCTCATCAATCTTCTCAACATCAGTGAGAGTGGCATGTCCTGCAGAGGCAGCGGCATCTTTAGCAAGAGCCTCTGAATCCTTGTCGATTTCAACATCAGGAATTGACCTGGCAAGATCTTCTTTGGTAACTTCCTCAGCAGCATTGGAGGCGGTTCTGGCCAAGTCGAGTTCAGATTCGTCCAAACCAACCTTAGGGATGGCAGCATCGAGATCCTTGGCGGTGGCCTCATCAGCAGCATCAGCAGCTTCTTCGGCTAGAATTTCTGACTTTTCGTCAATAGTGACATCAGGGAAATCAGCCTCGAGCTCTTCTTCAGCAGCCTCTTCAGCAGATCTGGCAGCGGCGATAGGAAGTTCTTCTTCTTTAGCCGCGGCATCTTCAGCATCAACGTCAGCCTCGACCTTGGCCAAAATTTCCTTTGCATCATCGTCATCAAATGCATCTTTTTCTTCAGCTTCCTTGGCTTCGTCCTCTGCCATCTCCTCTGCAATTTCCTCTGCAATTTCCCTGTCGATTTCATCCTCATCAATTTCACCCGAATCCACAGAGTCTTCAGTATCAACAACAACGGGGATATGTGCACCAGACTCCAAATGAGCCATTTGAGTTGTCTCTTCCTTAAGCTTTTGCTCGAGATGCTTCTGAGCAGCAACAGCATCATGAACTTCAGAATCAGCCTTGGCCTTTTCAGCTTCAGCGGTTGCCTTTTGAGATTCGGCCTCAAGAACCTTTGCATTAGCAGCAGCGAGTTCGGCTTCAGCACGGGTAATCTCGGCACGAGCTTTTTCAGCTTGAGCATCAGAAGAGGCTTGAGCTTCAGCAATCTTTGCTTGTTCAAGTTTGTGCTCAGCACTAAGCTTAAGAGCTTGGGTACGTTGAACTTCAACTAACGCAAGACTTTCAGCCTCCTGGGCACGAGCAGCAGCAACAGCCATGTTGAAAGAAGCAGTTTTAAGGGCATGCTTCTCTTTGCGCTTCTGCTCCAACAAGGCCAATTTTTCAGCCTTCAACTTGGCACGTTCCTGGGCCTTGCGGGACTTTTCTTGAGCACGAGCCTGATCATTAGCGGCACGCTGGACTTGACGTTCTTGCTCAACCTTTTTGCGCTCGGCCTCATGTTGTTCCTTTTCCTTTGTACGTTGCTCAATCATAATGGCACGCTGTTTGGCAAGCTCTTCACTTCTAATAGCCTTTGCAGCAGCCTTTTGTTCAGCAGCCTGGCGACGCTCATTAGCCTTCTTTTCGTGCTCAAGACGCTTTTCTTCAGCACGTCTCTTGCGCTCCTCTTCTTCGGCAATGCGGCGTTCCTCATCAGCTTGGCGTTGAGCAGCAGCCTTTTCAGAAATTTCCATCAAGACTGGACGAACATTACGTTCAGCAATGGCGTCGACATCAGACTGGGTGATGAAAAGGCCACCACCAATGTCAATTTTACCATGATTGACAAGTCTGGCGGTTCCCTTTTCTTGGGCAATGGCAAGAGCTTCTTCGTAGTAGGGGGCATTAAGAGTGGGGTTCTTGTAATAAAGTTCCTGGTCAATTTGGTTGATGGAAGACTGAGCACGCTGGCGGGCAATTGCCAAAACGGCTTCGTAGGACTGCGCAGTCATTTGAGAAGCTTGACGCTCACGCTCAAGACGTTCAACATCATTTTCGTGAGACAAGTTAGCTGCATAAGAGGCAGCATTAGCATTAACGCCAGTGGTTGCAGTGGAAGCTCTTCTTCCGGTTGAGGGCATCTCCAAGTTTGAAGTTGCATTTGTTGGAAGATAAATTTTTGAGAGCCTTTCAGAGGCTCTTCTTCTGGCTGTTTCTTCAACATTGCTAATGTTTGAAAGAAGGTAATTATTTTCCGGAGAGGGTGCCTTGTTAGGGTTTTGAGAAGGGTTAAGAGGGTCATATGTAGAGCTGGAAATGCTAGCGAGACCATTAGGAGTGAACGTCAAATTAGACATGGTTCTAGAGCCATTCTTTGCGGGAGAATAGGTGCTGGTTGCAGCAAGGCCTGCAGTAGAATCGGATTTTGAGCGATCACCCCAAGCATAAGCGTCTGGGATTCTCTTTGCGGCAGTTTCGTTAGCTGGGACGGCATGAGCAGCAAGGGCAGCTTCGGAAGAGTAAAGACCAGCGCCTGAGATAGATTCGCGGCCTTCTTTGGGGAAGACTGTCTTATCTTTTGCCGAGACAGCAGCGGTAGCTGCAGCTGCTGGAGTAGTTGGTTTCCAGACCTTGACTGATTTTGGGTGCGAGTTCGCGAACGAGGCAGCCTTAAGGCCAGTTTCTGAAGTTTTATGTTGCCATAATTTAAGTGAGAGGTCAGATTTGTTTGCGAGGATTGCAGCTTCATCTATATGAATAGTAAAAAAAAAAAAAAAGAAAAAAAAAGAAAAACGCGTATTAGTTTAAGTAAAAAAAAAAAAAAAACTCAAAAGTGCGTTATATATATATAAAAAAGAAAATATCATAACGCTACTACTACTAATAATAATACATACTTGGTGAAGAAGTTGCTACACCCAAAGTTGGGTAGCCAGGCATAGCATAAATGCCATATTTTTTCTTATTAGCGTAGATGGCAGCTTCTGAAAGCTTTCTGGGATCATCTGTGTAAATTTCCTGAACCTTGTGGGTATTATTGTTGATAATGATTGCTCTATTACGCGAGCTGGCATGAGAAGCTGAATGCGATGGAGCCGTAGAAGCTGAGGAAGCAGCCGATGAAGATGCTATTGACATTTGAAAGATGACAAGAAAAGAGAAGTATTATTCTCTTGTTTTATTATTATAGTATTATTTTTTTTTGTTAATAATTTATTAAAATGTTGATTTTTTTTTTTTAAAAAATTGTTGAACAAGAAGATAAGATGTTTAAAAAAGAGGGGTGACTTTTTCCCTAAACAATGACAAAAATTATAGTGGAAATTAAGCGCAAACAACAAAAACAAAAAAAATGGCGATATTTAAAGAGGATTTTTAGAAATATATATAGATAGATAGATAGATAGATAGATAGATAATAATGATAGGATATGCTGAAAAACAACAATACAAAAACAACAGCGAAAAAAAAAAAGGTTCAATTGACAAAGTTTTCAAAGGGGGAATGGATAAACAACAATGGATGGTTTAAAGAAAGAAAAAAAAAAAAAAAAAAAAAAAAAGGAAAAAGGAAAGGGAGAGAGAAAAAAGAGAAAAGAGAAAAATTTAATAAAAAAAAAAAAAAAAAAGCTAAATTGAAGCTTGTCAAAAAGGCAATCGCTACTAAAAACCAACTGCGTAAGTTTAATACTGAGTGTAACTATAGAACTGGCGGTGGATATTATCACTGTGAATTAATTATATATGAGGAGGAAATTCCATTTTCAATTGCCACCGCTTCTGCTGCTGCTGCTGTTGTTGCTGCCTTTCCATTAATAAAATTTCAACATGTCAATTTAACAATTATTAAATTGATATCTTATATAAGAAATATATATATTTAACTTTTGAAGGTCTTTTTTTTTCATTATTAAAGCAATTGAATTTTTTTTTTTTTAACTTTACTTTACTTTAATTTACTTTACTTTAACTCTTTTTTTTTTTCTTACTTTGCTGTATATCTTGTTTAATTGCTTCTCAGAAACTTCACCTGCTGCTGCCCGCTTTTGTGTCTTTTTTTTTTTTTTTTTTTTTTTTTTGAATTTAAATAAATAGAAAATATGGTGACATCATGTGAGGCGCCTCGACTTGCGTCGTCGCCCCGCAGCACCCAAAAAAAAATAAAAAAATAAAAATAATTAACAGCCATATTAGGGAAGTAAGTATGGCACAAAGTTTTAAACTGCGTAATATAAAAACAAAAAAAAAAAAAAAATAATTTTAAAAAAAAAAAATAAAGCAAAATTAAAGATTTCTTTGTGTTAAGCTTCTGTACGGCTGTGCATTTATAGATACACTCAAGTGGAGTACACAAAGGAATGGCTAAAAACATATTTACTAATCATGAGTCAGTAATTACAAATATTTCCAGACAAGAAATTAAATTAAAATTTATGACACAATTATATTTCATAATTGTAACAAAAATGTTATGTAATAGATCTTTTATCTCTCTTATTTATTTATTTTATTTTATTTTTATTTTTTTTTTGTTTTTTTTGTAACAACTAGCCTTCTAAAGAACCATCTAAAATATATGCTTAACCATCTGTTTTTTTTTTTTTTTTTTTTTTTTTTTTTTATTCTTCTCCGCCAAACCAAAAGACTTATCCACGTGCCAAATCCTCCATTGGTGATAGAGTAAAAAAGTAAACACACACCTCCAACCACAGACTTTTTGTACACACACACTCACATATATACCCATATATATATACACACACACACACACACACACACACATATATACACACACTTACTTTAACAATACAATAAGATCCATTCCTTCTTTATTACCCTATGAAAACCCGCTGAAGAAAACGGTTCTTTTTTCTAATCCGCAGTTTGAACAACTACTGGTCGATCCCATCATTCTATTGGGAAAATAAACCGAAAATTTTTTTTTTCTTTTTTTTTTTTTTCTTCTTCTTCTTCTTCTTCTTCTTCTTCTTCTTCTTCTTCTTCTTCTTCTTCTTCTTTCTCGCCTTATAATATATACCCTTATTTTTTTTTTTTTCTCTTCCTCCCTTTCTTTCTTCTTTTTAAACCTTCTTCACCAGTAGATTTTTTTTTAAAAATGAAGTATGGGAAGTACTTAGCCAAGCGCCAACTGGATATTCCAGAGTACTCAAATTACTTTATGAACTATAAGGCTCTTAAAAAGGTAAGTTTTTTGATTTATCAATTCTTTCTTTCTTTCTTTCTTTCTTTCTTTCTTTCTTTCTTTCTTTCTTTCTTTCTTTCTTTCTTTCTTTCTTTCTTTCTTTCTTTCTTTCTTTCTTTCTTTTTTTTTTTTTATTTTATTTTTTTTTTTTTTAAAATAAAGATTGCTAACATGTTTTATTCTTATTCTTATAATAGGTCATCAAATCTCTTTCTGCCCCAGTTGCCGCTAGATCTCCTCAAGATGTTGAGAAAATCCTTCAAGATAACAAAGCCTCTTTCTTTTTCCGCGTCGAAAGAGAACTTGAAAAAGTCAATGCCTTTTATATTCAAAAAGAAGCAGAGCTTAAACTCCGACTAGACATTTTAATACAAAAAAAAATCACAGCTTATCAAAGTGGCGCCCTATTATCTTCTTCAACCTCATCTCTCGCTTATATCACTCTCCATGAAGGCTTTCAGCGATTTCTTAGAGACCTCGACAAACTAGAACAGTTTATAGAACTCAATGCAACAGGGTTTTCCAAAGTTCTCAAGAAATGGGACAAGCGCTCAAAGTCACAAACAAAAGAACTTTATCTTTCCCGCGCCGTTGAAGTCCAACCTGTTTTCCATCGCGAAGAGCTTGCTGACATGTCAGACAAGGCATCAACTTCAATTCTTGAACTAAAGGCTTGGGCCGAAGGTGATTCCGTCTTTTTTGAGGGTAAAAGTAGCGATGACAAGACCTCGGAAAAGGACAACGTAAATACCCAAAAGTCTGCTAATACTACTGCAACATCAACTACCACTACAACATCAAACATCAAGGTCAATCTTCAAAATCCTATAGAACAGTCTCAAATCTTGACCTCATCAACTGATGATCTTTACTATGAATTCATCAAAACTGCTTCTTCTACTGATACCAACTCTGATACCACAAAAAAGGTTTTTGCAGAATGGATCTCTCGCCTTTCCCAACTTGAAGGCGCAAAAGAACGTATTACAAGTATCTTCTTGTTAGCTATCCCAACAAAGGCATCTGATGCCGCTCTTATTGCACTCTACGATTCTGGCTATGTGGATATTCATGCCATTGACGAAATCAATAACCAATCTGTTCTCCACAAGGCTGCAATGGTAGGAAGAACAGTCATTGTAGATTTGGCTCTAGATCAAGGTGTTTCTCCATCTTCCCAAGATACTTATGGCCGTACCCCCCTTCATTACGCCTGTCTTCACAATAATGTCGATCTGATTGAAAAATTTATTAAAAAGGGCGCTAATGTTGATGCTTTGGATAAAGACAACTTCTCTCCTTTATTATGTGCAATTATCTCCAAAAATTCCCAATGTGTCCGTCTTCTCATCAACTTTGGAGCAAAGGGTGATGGTGATTCTGAAAAGTTGTACATCCCGCTTAATTTTGCTTGCCAATACGGCATTTACGATGCTACAGAGATGATTCTCAATCGCTGGCCTAATGTCATCAAACCAGATGCCGAGGGTTTATATCCTATTCACATTGTTGCTAGAGCAGGCCATCATAACCTCATTCCTCTTCTCACTAAATATGGCACCAATGTCAACCAAGTCGACAAGCTCAACAAATGGACAGCTCTTTTTTATGCCGCATCCGAAGGCCATGCACTAGCTGTTAGGGAACTTCTCAAGGCAAATGCACATGTCGACATTTTAGATGAAGATGGGCACACTCCTCTTTACTATGCTACATGGGAGGGCCATGTGGAATGTGTTGAAGAGCTTTCTGCTGCTTTGGCCAAATCAAACGGCTCCTCTTGTGACCAATCAATTCCCATTCCAATCAACAACAACACAAATAATACTGCAGCCTCATCTTCTGCAATTTCAATACCTTCAAACACTGCCAACAGTTTTTCTAGTAACTTTATGGACCCCTCATCTTACTCCTCATCTCTTTCTCCAAATGACATGGACATTGAGAACTTGGATATGGATGGTATCCCTGATTTGTCTCTCCCTCCTCCAATTCTCCCCCTGCGTCGCTATGGTCACAATTTCCTTGACAAGAAAATTTTTGTACAACTTCTTTTTGATGCTGCTTCTTCTTCTTCATCCAAAATCCCAGTTATTGAATTTGACAAGGATGATGACACTCTGCCTGCAGGTCGCTTGACCATTTCCTCAAGAAACAATCATGAAATAATTCCGCAAAGCATTATTTTACCCATTTCCGAAAATGACAAGACTAGAATCTCTTTCCAAGTTGATTCTCTTGAAAACTTTGCAATCGATTTTGAAATTTATCCAACTTATGGTACAAAGATTGTGGCTAAAACTGCAGCCTTATCTTACATTTTTAACCAGCAACAAGCATTCAATCCAGAAAATCAGCATATTCTCGGAACTAGACATTTCTGTACTCTCCCTCTCTTTGATATGCGTCTTCAAACAGTGGGAAGAATTAACTTTGCTTTTCAAATTGTATTGCCATTTTCTGGTAAACCGTTGGAAATTACCAAGTTTGACACTTACTGGAAGTCAACGTCCCAATTCGACCAACAGGGTCAAGGGTCGCAGCAACAACAACAACAACAGCAGCAACAGCAACCTCAATTACCTCAACAAGTTTTGCATGATACATCCTCTCTACTCAACTCGTCACTGCCGGCCCTTCCTGCTAGTAATAATAACTCCCATACATCGCAGGTTCAAATGCTGCTACAATCTCAAAGATCTGGTTCCCCCATTATTAGCAATACTTTGAATAGCATAATCGCTGGTGGAACCAATACCCCCACTGGTCATTCCTCCTCAATTTATGGCCACGGTGCTCACCCTCCTGCACCAACTGGACCCTCTTCATTTTCTTCTTCATTCCACCACCACCATGGCTTTTCACAAACCCTCTCACTTGTCACTGCTTCCTCACTTTCTGGTGAGTTTTCTCGCATCAGTGTCTGCTTAACGCGTGATCTGATACCAGTGGTGGCGAATTTTTGGAATATTTATGTCAACAAGGTGGTGGACGTCCCCATTGGTCATTTAAATCTTTACCAGATTCTTTCCCTTTCTTCGTCTGGTGTCCCCCCCAAGGATTATCTGGTTGAGACAAAACGCAAGCTGGCTGCTGCCTCTTCTCCTGAAGAATTGCATAAGGCTCTTTCCAAGTGCAACCGCATCATTCCGTTGAAGGATTTTCTGCAAGCCACTCCAGTTGAGGCTAAGCTCGACATTTCTGTTTTGTACCCCACGCGTGCCGAGGCTGTCTACATGAACCTCGGAGTAAACACTTTCCCTGATCTTAACGTTTATGTGGACAAAATTCTTACAGTCTTGTTTGACCATGTTCGTGAGGTACGCAGTTCCCGGAACCCAGAAAATGCGCCATATGGTGGAACTCCTTCACAAACGCGATCCGTAATTTTCTCTTCTGCCCATCCGGACGTGTGCACAGTGCTCAACTGGAAACAGCCCAACTATCCTGTGTTTTTCCACGCAAACGCAGTTAAAATTGATACAGGGGTACTCAAATCCGCGGTACTCAAAAAACGCAGAGAGGATAGCGATGGTGACGTGCAGCTTGGCGATGAGGAGGAAACTGGAAGCTCAAATGCTCACGCGTTTAGTATTTTCAGTGCACATGGACTGCCTGTCCCTGAAACTGACCGTCGGTGCACTTCTCTCAAGGAAGCTACACTGTTTGCTGCAAACAATAACCTCCTAGGTCTTATTGTCAGTGCAGATTTGCTTTCACTTGTTCCCAGCTTGGTAAGCACCATTCGTGTGTTTGGCCTTGTTTTGGTGAGCGAATGCAAAGACAATGAGCCAGCAACAACTGCAGATGAAAGTTCTTCTGTTGCTTCTGTTGCTCCTGTTGCTCCTGTTACTAATTCTTTGCCAGTACCCAAGCCAGTTAATGGAAAGCCAAAGTCGTCTTCTCTTTCAGAAATGCTATCGTCTAAGGAATCAGATCGAAATTCGTTGAATGATGCAAAAACTACTACTGTCCCTACAACTACAAATATTCTGACTTCACCCCTAATTGCCTCGCTCATTTCGTCTACCTTGGATACTAGGGTAACAGGATCTGGGACTTCGTTACTCAATAACTCGACAACGCCTAGTGCTCAACAACAGATGGCTATGTTACCTGGGGTTGATGGGTTCCGTAATGGAAATGTACTCAAGTTTAAGGGTGCTATAGACATGTAAAATTTACCTACAGCGTATCTGTGTATATTCTTTAAATGACTTTTTTTTTTCCCCCCCACCAAACGTATATTAGCATATAATTTTTTTTAATATTAATATTTCATTAAAATCCAGTTTTCCATATATCTATAATAAAAAGTCGTCCACTTCTTGTCTGTATTTTGCAATATTTCTTTTAATCTTAGACTCATCGACCCATGTTAGGTAATCCTCCATCTTCTTTGTGACCAAAAACGCTGGGTCTGTGATAACCTGAGGTCCCACGCGTACATGACCCTGCTCTACAAACAGAGTTGCATCTCGGATTGATGGTGCCATTTTGAGTCTCCACATGACTACTGGGATTCGTCGCCGGCAAAAGTTGGAGACTATGATTTGACCCTCCAAATCACTAACTTTTGCTTTACGACCACCAAACCCAAGCACACCCATAGATTCAAGCTTTTCCAGCATCAACTTTTCATGTTTCAGACGAACTGGGTCTCGTGCATCGAGCTCCGTCAGCTTCAAAGCAAACCGCCGTATTTCACCACATAACTTATGGTACTTGCTATAGTCGTTGCGGTTCTGGATGTGATAGCGTTGCATGATCAGGGTTTCTTTGTGGCCATTGTCTTGTTCCCAGTCATAGAAATCAACCTTTTTCAGGAGTTTCTCCTCATGATGTTTCAGTTTTCGGACCATAGTTATTGTGTGTAAATTGGTATATATAGATTTGGGGATATGCTTGTATGATGATGGTATGAAATATGAAAAAAAATAATTGTGTTGTTGATTAATTTTTTTTTATTTTCTAAAAAAAAAAAAAAATTTTATAAAAAACAAGCCGCATTAACATCACATGACAAGGTTCATGAACCACATTTATTTATTTTATTTTTTTTCAATATTTTTAACTTACCACCTGCCAATCAACGTTCCCACCATAGCCAGCGAAATTTAACTGTATCCCTCCCCTCAAAAAAAATTTCACCACCAAAAACTTTTCTCTTTCCCACCAAATACAGACACAACCACCAAAACCACCACCATCCCCACTATCACCAACCTCTATCCACCATGTCTTTTACCAGATCTGCAGGCATGTCCTTTGCCCAACAAGGCATCTTTTCTCTGCGTCCGGCTGTTGTTTCTTCTTCTTCTCGGATACTACTTCAACGTTCAGCAGCTCCTGCTGTCGCCTTTTTCAGCACAAGCCCTGTTGCTCGATCTAACATTGGGTCGAGTCCTATCACAATCCCAGAAACAGTGAAAGTTGTTGTTTCTGATAAGCAGATTGATGAGATCTCGCGATTGCGCATGGAGATTAATTCAAAGCGTCGTGGCAAACCAGTCATTAACCTGACGCAACAGGCCCTGGTCAAGGGCCCTCGCGGCGAACTTACTATTGATCTCGCAGATTTTGTCAAGCTTGATATCGAGGACCTGCACCACAGCGACTCACCAGAAAGTGCAGGCGATGCACTTAAGAAGGTTACGGTGCGCGTACGTGACGAAAAGGATAAGCCTCAGCGCTCCATGTGGGGTACTACACGATCGCTTCTTAACAATGGCATCATTGGTGTTACTGAGGGCCACATTGCCATCATCAAGTTTGTGGGTACTGGTTTCCGTGCATCTCTTGAGAAGGATGCTGCTCAGAACAATAGGGAGTACATCTCACTCAAGGTCGGCTACTGTGTGCCTATTCGTGTTGATATCCCTGAGGGAATCAAGATCCAGCTGCCATTGCCTCACCGCATGATTATTGAGGGCAATGACAAGCAACAAGTCAAACTGCTGGCTGCTGAGATTAGAAAGCACAGAAAGCCTGAGCCTTACAAGGGTAAAGGTATATTTGTTGATGGTGAGACCATCAAGCTTAAGGCCCGCAAGATTAAATAAACGGCTCTCTATTCTTTATATTTTTCTTTTCACTTGTATATATACACATTTGTTTCTTGTCTTTTTTTAATCGTAAATATATTCACACATTATATACAAAACAGTTCATTAGTAGGAGGGGAGGGGGAGATATAAAACACATTACACAATTTAGAAGTTTTCGGATCTGTGTCTACTGGTGGCTTCTTCATTCTTTAAGGGAATAAAGGGCATGTACTCCTCTTCAAGAAGAGACATGGGCTCGCCATTTTCTGGAGTCACAGACCACTCAGTAACAACAAAGCGGTTAGTTTCCTGAGACTTTTCTGCCTTGAACCAGACGATGGCCTTAGGCACTTTAGAGCCCTTGATGGTGTACTTGAAGTCAACGGCACCACCAACGGTAGAAATGTAGCCTGTAATCCATGGGAATAGTGAGTAAAATGAGATATTGTCTCCGAGCAGTTCGCGGGCTCTAGCCGAGCGTCTCAGAGTGTAAAGAGTGGAAGTAACAACTGGCGAGTTTGCATCTTCGTACTTGACAATACCACCAAAGGTAAGCAGCATGAATGCAATGAATGCATAGAAAGAGCGTCTGGTTCTGCGAGATTCGGCCAAGGGGTCCGGCAGGTCTTCCGAGTGAATGGTAACGCGGCGGTTTCCGTTTTCATCGAAAAAATAATCGTGGTTGTCTGGATTGTCAATCGGGTTCGGGTACTGCTTGGTAATGTGCTCGTGAATGGCCTTAGTAGGTCGTACATTGATCTCGTCAAATGAGTCCGGAGCACGGAACTTTTCGTCTAGAGAAGAGGAAGAAGAAGAAGAAGAAGAAGAAGAAGAAGAGGAAGAAGACTCGGTTTCTGAGGATTTGAAGTTGGGCGTGTTACGGTTGGACGAAAAGGAGGGTGAAGAGGAATACAGGCGAGCCAAAGCCACACGGCCTGCGAGCGGCCGGACCCCGAGAAGTCTCTGGGACTTGAGTAGAGAGTATCTGAGAGACATTTCAGTAGGTAAAAGAACTGATATTTGATAAAGCTTTTCAGGTAAAAATAAAAACAAAATTGACTTTTTTAGAGTCGTAGTAGGGGATTGGGTGGTGGTGGTAGTGGTGGAGGTGGAGGAGCAGAAAAGAATGCCCGTTATGAAGATTTTCTGTTGTTTGTTGTTTGTGCGGGCCAATCGCCAGAGCCAAACTCCGGGTGTGAGAAACGCTCATCAATAACTTTTATGTACCAAAACCCTAACCCTGGAGATCACAGATGGTTTTGCGGATTTTCTGCTAAACCACCAAAAAAATTTTTCACATACACATCACCACCACCACCACCAAATTCCACCCTCCTCCTCCAATCCCAATCCCAACCACCAATCCCAATCAACAATGCTCGCATCAAAATCCAGCGCGCTTTGGGCCTCCGTGTCTGCGCCCAAGACACTTGTTCGTACGGCCGCAAAACTTACTTCTTACTCAGTGGCCTCGACTATCGAAACAACAACCCCCGTGCTCAACCACACTCCTGAGGCTGCGCACATGCGCAAGCTGCTTCCTGAGCGTACAGGTCTTCTTGCTCGCAAGGTCGGCATGATCACTTGGTTCAACACTTTTGACGAAAAGGCGACTGCTGCAAATAGCCGGCCTGCAGGTGGTGCCGCTGCTGCTGCTGCAAAGTCTGGCAAGGCAACTAAGAAGAGTCTTTCTGATGCTGCTGATGCTGCTGATGCTGCTGCTGCCGAGAAAGACAGTATACCCCAGGAAATTGTCGAAGGCCTTAAATCCTTGATTTCCCAGGACATTATTGGCGGTGGTCCCGGTCAAATGTTCCCCTGCACCGTACTTGAGGTGGATCGGTGCCAGGTGACTCATATCAAGACTCTGGCCAAGGATGGCTATTGTGCTGTTCAGGTTGGCATTTCCGATGTTGGTGTGCCCGGATCTCCCAACAATGAGGCATACATTCGCCGCAAGTTCACACGCGCTCAGCTTGGCCATTTTGCACGCGCTGAGGTCGCCCCCAAGAATGATGTTGCTGAATTTCTCGTCAAGAATGATGCGGCTGCTACTTCTCTTCCACTCGGAACTCTCCTCGATGCTGACCACTTTGCTCCAGGCCAGTACGTGGATCTTAAGAGCGTATCCAAGGGTAAGGGCTTTCAGGGTGTCATGAAACGACACGGCTTTCACGGTATGAGTGCATCACACGGTAACTCGCTGTCGCACAGAAGTGCGGGTTCCACCGGTATGAACCAGGATCCTGGAAGAGTTCTTCCTGGCAAGAAGATGCCTGGCCATATGGGGTTCAAGAATGTGACGATTCAAAACACACTTGTTATTGGTGTTGACAAGGAACGTGGCTACATCCTGGTTAAGGGTCCTGTCGCCGGCCCCAACGGCGCTGTTGTCAAGATTTCAGATGCAAAGAAGAAGCTTCCTGAGTACCTTGGCTTGAATTAAAACAGTATATATATTTTTTTTGTTTCCTTTGTATATATAAATTATAATAGCATCTTATTTTTTTTAAACAAATACTTTTTTTTTTGTTAAGTAAACTAAAATCTAATATCCAAGTGATATTTCTTCAAATTAAATTTTTTTTTTCCATCATTTTTTAAAATAAGCCAGTCCAGTCTAAATTATTTTCAACAACTTTCGCGTTTGTAGAAAGAGCCAATTCCTCATTTAGTCAGATTTCGTCGTCTTCAATTTCAGAGGGCTTCATGAGACCACCGACTTGCTTGGCACGTTCACGCTCCTCATTCTGCTTATTCTGTAACTCACGCTCCTTGTCCTCAGCAAACAGGTACTCTGTATCACTGCCATCAAACTCCTTGATTTCCAGCAAAAAGTCTCGTAGCGTGGTCTTGAATCGGTGTGGCTCGCGGTACTGCAGCACAAGATTTCCAATGAAATTGCTGACTTTAGCTCTTTGAAGATGTGGGAACGCATTGAGCAATAGATTCGTCATATATTCCTTAAAATAAGCAATATTGCTGGTACCACTGGGAGCCTCGTTGTCTTCGTAAATAGGTTTCGATACTCGGCCAGAATCCAAAAGTTCAATAATTTTCATGAGAATCTGAGACTGCGTTGTGAATCCAGCCTTATGATCGCTATCAGTAAGAACGTAAAAAGTATCACCAATAATAGGCTTGAAGAAACGTTTAAAGAAATTGTCAGAAATTTCATTGTGCAAGTCACCCATGTTGGTAATCAATTCTGACAGTAAACTCAGACCAGACGACTCCACATCTCTATTATCGTGCTTGGCACCCCACAGACAAGCGTCAACAGTTTGGCTGAAAACAGGAGCAGGTAGCTTCAAAAGAGCAGTAAAACTATTGAGGTTAATATTACGCAAAAGCTTAAAGAATTCGACACGGTGCTCTGGGTAATCATTCATAGTCTTGTTAATCATTTCCAGAGTGCTTTCAAAAACATTTTCCAAAATAGAAAGCACCATATCGGGAACAAGGCGACCCACTCTGTTAACAAGAGTACTCATGCAGTGCAATACTTCGGCTTCTCTTGCGTCGGGAAGGTTGGAGCGGTAGTCCTGCAATACTGCTTGCAAAAGACCAGGAACCATGTTTGTGCAAATATGGTCAAGGTCCTCGGCCTTAGAAACGTAAGCCTCGATAAGCTTGAGAATCTCCTTCTTGATAGTTCTAAGGCCACGTACTCTAGGAGTCTTGGTGGCAACAGGGCCCTGTTGAGCTACCGCATCAGAAATCATGGAAGAAACAGCTCTGTAAAGACTTAGCATGTCAACATAGATAAAACCAAGTTGGGGGGCAAAGTTGGCACCCAAAGCATAGCACGTCGACACATTAGTCTTCATAATATTTGCAATAATCTTGATAGTTTCCGGGTTAGTCAACAACTCCGGGTCAGTGCGAGACTGCTCAAGAATACCGTTCCAAGCAACATTGGGCATATTCATAAGTTCCTCAAGCAACTTGTCGCGAAGAGGTTTCGAGGTTTGAGACGCTATTATATAACCACAAGCCTCGTAAAAGGTTTGAACCTGTTGGGGCTGAAGATCGCTAGTAATGTCTGTGAGAGAGCGCAAAATCTCCTCAATAAATGGTTCAGACTCTCCGCTTTGAAGGGTAACAAAATGCCTCTTACACTTTTGAGCAATCTTAATAAAGGTATCACAGGCCATATCCTGAACACCATCGTGTGTTTCGTGCATAAACTCAAAGAGCTTATTAACGACAGTTTTGAGGAAGCGCCAGTGGGCGCGCAAAAAGCGAGGGTATTGGCCCACAATGTACATAATGTTGGATGCAACGACGGCTTTATTGTCTTTGCCGCGCTTCATATCTGTCAAGTTGAGAAGTTCGCGAATGACGTAAACAAGAAATTGTTTTTCCATTTCTTCATTCATGGCACCGGAGATGGAACCAATGGCCCAACAGAGAGTATTGATATTGTTCCAGGACCACTCGCTACCATCCATTTGTTTTGCAAGCTTGTTGCGCATAATTCTATCAGTATCGGAAACATCCAGGTGGGTAAGGTAAACAAGAACCTCGCGAATGCTCTTGTACAAGGTAATGGTATCGCTTTCCTTGACAAACTCACGGACGATCTCGCCTTCGTCGTTTTCGACAATCAAAACTTCTTCCGGACGAACCATTTTTTCAATCATGACGACACGAAGGGAGGAAAGAATTTGAGCGTAAATATGTTTACGGAGAGGGTAGTTTGCGAGGAGTTCTGGGCTTGCGGCACCACCAGTGTTGAAGTTTGCAAGGATGGAGCGGCCGAGGGCGGGGTTCATGTCTGAGAGGGGGATTCTTCTCATTTCGTCGTAAAGTTCTTGGACAAGACGGGCCCAGTAGTCCAAGGTAATTTTGAACAATTCACGTTCCTCGATTCTTGAAATATTGATGAGATAATTATGGGAGAGGATAAGAACAGTTCTGTCGTCTTGTTCCTCAATAAGTTTTAAGTGATGTGAAAAGAAAGTTGAGAGGAAAAGGGCAAGGTTTTGAATAAATTCCTGATCCTGGGAGCTTGCATCGTCAAAGATACTTTTAAAGTCAGTTGAGGGAGGGATGATGGAGCTAATAATTTCCATAGCAGTGACAAACATTTTGAAAAACATCTTGTCAGCGCTTGGGTTAGTCAAACCAGCGATTTCCGTCAAGCACTTGAGAGTGACATTTCTAAACTCAACTGGAGAAAGGAACTTTGTAACGAGAAGAGAGATAAGGGGAGTTTCAAAAATGTAATTGTGCTCGATCCAGTTGATGTACTTAAGAAGGGAGTGGAGAGTGGCCTGAATAAGAGAGGGCCGGGTGGCGTTGTTGAGGACCTCAAAGCAAAGTTGAAAGATTTGAGAAAACTCTTTTGCAAGCTGGCGCTTAAGGTCTGTTGCTTTTGTGGAGGTCATTTGCTCAGCAGAGAACTCAAAAACGTCTTCACTAAGAAGGTTGAGAATGACCATATTGTTTTCGCAAACGTTTGCACTGGAACGACTGGACTCGACAATATCTGGAATGAAAGAGGGCCAAGCGGCGGGCCACTCTTGTTTTAAGATTTGAACTAGAGTAAGGTTTGCCTTGTTGATAAGGGATTTCTGGGTGCGGAAGGTTGTTTCATCATTGGACCAGTTGACACAAAGTCCAACAACAAAGTTGCGAATTCCCTGGCGTTCATTTTCAGGGAGGATCTTCCATCGGGTAGAAATGAGTTTTTCAAGAACAGAAAGAGCGATATCTATAAAAAGTTAGGGAAAAAGAGAAACAATGATTAAAGAAGATTTTAAACTTACATTTTGATTGTGGATTTTTAGCTTCTTGAAGAATCTTTGGAGCACGAGTCCAGGAATCGGCATGGTCTTGAAACTGTAAAATTTTGTTAGAATGAAAAAGAAGGGGTTCGAATAAGTAAAAAAAAAAGAAAAAAAAAGAAACATACCTTTTTAAGTACAACATCAGCTTCAGATCTCTGTTTTAGAAAAAAAATATAAAGATTAGAGTAAAAAAACGAAAGTTGTTAGTTTTATCATTATTAAAGATAACAATGCTAGTCCACAAAAAAAAAAAATAAAAAGCAAACAAGCAGCTGTTGTGTGTATATTTGTTTACATACCTCGGCTGGTGTACCTTGACCTGAATAAAAGACTGTGACAATTCGATCCAACAGATCGATGTCGAGGTCTTTCGAGAAGTCCAAGAGCTGATCCATGGTATAGAATATGTGTAAGTTGGTATGGTTTAAAGGTGGTGGTGGTGGTGGTTAAAGATGGTGGTGGTTGTGGTGATGATGGGTGCGTGGTGGTATTTTTTTTGTTGGGTTTAAAGTGGTGGTGGTGGTGGTAATGAGGTTTTTAGTGGTTTGGGTTTTGTTTGCTTTAAGAGGGAGCGATTTTTTTTTTTAAAGGCAAGAAAAAATTTGTGTGTTGTGGGAATGCTTATTATGGTGGCAGTGATTGATTTTTTCTAAACAAACAAAAAAAAAATACCCCAGCAATCATACTTATAAAAATATCACCGCCACCAACCAACCATAGAAATATATTTATTTTATCATCACCAACCTCTTTCAAATAGTCCTTTTTAATTCATATTATTACAGGTAACCGCAGTGATAGTCATCGTCAAATAACAAAAAAAAACTCTTCTATATAGTTAGTGTTCAATAATTCAACAATTTTAACAATTTCAATTGGAGAAACTCTATATAACAAGATATCCCAAAGCCTTTTTTTTTTTACATCAATTACCATTTTAGTTAGATATATACCCTCAATTGATATCCAATGACTTTTGACCGTTCATTTTCTTTTAAAATTGTGGAATCCTACACTCCAACATCATTTGTAAACCATTCATTCCCAATCTATACTTCTGTGTTGTTTGTGAGCAAGATTCCCGCAGCTTCATTTTTTGATCGTACTACCTTAAGCACAACAGATAATGATCATAATAATAATACCAACCTCTCTGCCACAATCCTGGATGCACGGTTTATTAAATCTCTCAGAAAGTACACTGAAAAACATGCACCGGTATCCTCATCTTCTTCAGGCAAACCGTTACGCGTGTTAGTGTGTTTGTTACTCAAGGGCATAAACATGCAGCGCGTATCAAGTTTGGAACTTTTATATTTGCAGCAATTGTAACTTCTCTTGTCTGCTGTGGCTTTTGATAAATGAAATAATGGGCCACATCTAATTGATTTGGAGCTAACATGAGAATTTTTTTTTTGTGTAGGGTTTACGACGCGGATGCTATAAATCTGAGCTACTCAATAACAACGTCACCAAGCGTGGTTGTGCTCAAATCCAAAATTCCCAGCACACCTATGCCTCCTATAAATTCACTTGAGCACTTGCCTGAAATTCATCCCATGCGAATTGATAACATTGTAAGCTAGACTTCTAGTTTTTTTTTTCTCATTTTTTTCTTGCCAACATTTATTTAAAGAATACCAAAGCCTAATCATAAAAAAATAACGAGTCGCATAGTTAGACTCTTTTATTTATTTATATTTTTTTTCAGTCTTTATTCATACAGATAAACGTGATCTAACCGGATAAATAAATACATCTTTAGGATCCCCCAGATATCAAAGCTCTCATCCAATTACTTCCGCACGCACCGGGGACAACGTCAACCATTACCTTCTCAGAACCTACCCTCGCACAACTTATGGATGAACATACGTCACTGCGTTCAATTGCAGCGTCATTAGCTACGATACCTACTTTATTCAATAGCATAGCACCAGCCTCATCGTTATCAACCACAAATTGGTCCAGGTTTACAACTGGCGGTGCGCGATTCCCTCATGCTCCACCACCTCCATCAGCAACGTTATCACAGAGTGTTTACCACTCCCAAAATTTCAGTGGGCCTCAAGATACAAGAATACCAGTGTTACCAGACACTAACCCTTACCGAAGTCAACAGACTACTGGAACAGCAGCATCTGCAGCTGGTCACCCGTTTTTCCAGGCAGGCGGTGGGTATAAGAAATCAGCTGGGCGGAAAATAGGTGGTAGCGGCAAAAGCGGAAGGTATGGGGGGAATAATAGAAGCGGAGGTAGTGAAGGAAACGGATGGAATGGAAACGTAAGAAAACCTTGGGGTGGAAGTCCTAATCGAGGCGGACGTGGAGGACGAGGTGGGTGGCGTGGAGGAAATAGTGGTCGGGCCAAGTGAGATTTGAGGGGGGAAAAATAGTATATAAGAATAGATTTATGCTTATAGTTAAATAAATATATATATATAGGCTTACAATAATGGAAGGAATAGTGTAATTGGAAAGAATGGTTCTATAGCTTTTACTCAGTTAGATAAATTTTGATTTGTAGTACTTATTTCCGAAAAGTATGTAAAGTTTAATTGAAAAATCTATGAAGACGAAAACTCTGGTTTTTTTATTTTTATTTTTTTTAAATCACCAGAATTTATATAAGAGTTCCTTTTCACGATAAGAACATTTCCGAGACATATTTTTTTCTCAATTTCTAGAATTACTTGTTAGTTATAATTGATTTCTTATCTACTGAAAAAAAAAGACAAATAAAATAGAATAAAATAAAAAATTTTTGGTCTTTTGTCCATTTTTTTTTTAATATCAACATTAATGTTGTTGATATCAATAACCCCCCCTTTAAAACCGTTGAGCTACACTTATTCTATAAATAGTTACATATATACCCTTTTTGTTTTAACTTTAACAATAGTTATTTTATTTATTTATTTAACTATAATAATTAAATAATCTATTTATAGCACCCATCAATTAATAATTTAAGCTTATTCGAATAATCCACTTTTCTTTGTTTACTTTTTTTTTTTTTTATCTAAACACGCGTGAAAAATGTAAAAAAAAACGGTTATTATATATAGTCTCAACAAAAAATGTTTGTTGTCTTAACTTCCCCCACCCCCTTTTAAAATGTCGGTAAATCATTTACCGAGTGATTTTTTAAATGAATATTTCTAATATTATTATTATTGTTGTTTTTATTTTTTTTTTAAAAACCCTTAAATTTGATAATATATTTTACAATTTTTTTTTTTGATCTAAGTGATATATAAAAAGATATATAAATTCTAACAACTGATTTTACAAATAATAATAATATAATAATAATAATATAATAATAATATAATAATAATATAATAATAATAATATAATAATAATATAATAATAATAATAAACTGATTAAAGGATTAAACATTAAGTTAATGAAAATAAAGAATAGAAAAATATTAAAAATTAATCCCTTTTTTTTTGTCCTCCTTAGAGAACTCCATTTACCATCACCTTTTTCTCTCCAATTCTAATTCTGTCTGTTGCATCTTGTCTCTATTAAAAATGCCATATTGTAGTAATTGTATCCTTCTTGTAAATATGAAAATCCTTGCTCCGTCAAGTTTTTTTTTTTGCAAATTTGTTTAGTGCTCATAAGAATCAAAAAAAAGAAAAAACCTTCTCTTTTTCTATATGCAATAATATCCAGTTCATTTCATTGATTTCTCAGTGTCGCCAAAAAAATTCCACAAAAAAAACAAAAAACAAAAACCTCTTCTATTCAGGAAGAAAAACGTCAACAGACATAATAAACTCACAAATCCATCATTTCCCATTCAAATGAATTTATCGCATCTCCATAGTAGGTCTCAGTTTTTCTTTCTGAGTCTTGTCATCAGGAACTAAAGCCGATGGTGGTCTGAAGCGACCAGCATTAATAGCAACCACTGAACCGTCTTCTCTGCGTCTCACCTCACGCTCTTCAGGTGTCATAGTGTTAATGTTACGCTCCTCGTTGGCATATTTGTTTGGCGGGCGGAACTCAAGCGATGTCATCAATGCGATACTCTTGCGCAACTGATGGGGAGATGGCAAAACCATATTGGAAGACTCTGCTTCAGGGTAGTTCAAATTGTTGTGTAGCGGGTTGTATACAGGGATAATAGGCGAAGCTGCTGACACTGGAGATTGAGGAACGTTTGTTCCCGAGGAAAATGAGTTAGATCGTGTGCCATTGGTGAGTTCAGCAAGATCCGTTGAAGACGCGCTGTGTGCAAGGGCATAATTCTTGCGAATTGGTGCATAAGCAATAGGCGAATCAGTTTCAGACAAGTTATGTGGCACAGGGAACGCGGAGAGTTCAACACGGGGGACATGGGTGACAGGTGTATGAGCTCCAGAGCGAGCCGATCGGAATGAAGCCTGTGAAGGAGAGGATGGAATTATGTTACCTGTGGGAGTAGATGACATAGATCTGATTGCGGCAGGATCATGGGGCATGGGTAAGTTGTAAAGCTCCATTTGGTCAAATTGTTGTTGCTGTTGGGAATGGGGTTGAGAGTGGAACTGGGGTTGAGGTTGGAGCTGAGGCTGAGGCTGAGGCTGAGACTGAGACTCAGACTGAGACTGAGACTGGGGCTGTTGGTAAGGAGAGCCAAGGGTAGTGTTGATGGCAGGAAGGTTCTTGGCAGCCTTTTTATAGGCGGGTTGATGCTCTGCGATGGAAGGAGAAGAACTGTTAGCAACGGGGGCCTGTTCCGAGTATTGGTACTGGACATTGGCTGAGTTTTGTTGTTGTTGCTGATCTAAGGGGCTTTCAGGGATGGATGCAAAGTCAAAGCCTGAATCCGTATTTGTTGCCGAGATTTCTGGTGAGTGCATGCCTGTAGGGAAATATTCCTTGTAGACAGACTTGACACGATCAAAGTCTCTGTTATTTACTGATTCACGAGCATCACCTTTAGCCTGAGCATTTTCACCATAAGAAGGGGAATGTTGAGTAGACTCATCTCCGGCAAGGCTTGCTCCTGTCGAAGGAGTGTTGAGGGAGTTAGAAGGGTTGTGGAAGGAAAGCGTTGTTGTTGTATCGTCATCTTCGTCATCGCCCGAGTACTGAGAAGTTGACATGATGCTGAGGTTATTTTTATTATGGGACAATTCCTGCTGCTGCTGCTGCTGCTGCTGCTGCTGTCTCGACTCAAGATTTGAAAAAGAAGAAGGCTGGCTATTGTTATCGGGGGTTTCACGCATAGTGGCAAGAGAATGACTCGATTGCTGTGTTTGCGGAAGACTAACGGTGGAAGCAGCCTGAGAAGAAGCTTGAGGAGCAGTCTGAGTGGAATACTGGTGGGCCGCACTTACAGTTGAGATTGGCTGCTTTGTTGAGGTTGAGGAGGTTGTGGTAGTATCAGTGAGGGATCGTTGCTGAGGCCCATTAGCTTTGAGAGTTTGGTTTGAAGGTTGTTGTCTAAGGAGAGTGTATTGGGAAGAAGCATTGATGGCATTGAAAGATTGACCGTAAGGATTGTTATAGTTGTTATTGGTAGGAGAAGAAGGACGAGTAGCAAGGGAGGGGGGGTAAGATGTGTTAGAAAGAGTATTGTAAATGTCTCCGGAAGGAGGATAAGCTGACTTGTCGTAGGGGTCATAGTTGTTGAGAGAACGTTGCGAGGATTGCAAATGGGGGATTTGGTAGAGCGAGTTTGGAGTTGCAAAGGGGTTAGCAGAGTCATAGACCTGAGGTTTAGGTGTTGTCATGGCCAAACGAGGGTCCGTGGCAAAGTCCTGGTTATTATTTTTAGGAAGAGCATATTGATTGTTACTACTACTAGAGTCGATGAGAGTTTGTTCTGATGGTTTTGAATGAAGTTGTTGAACAGAATAATTGGTTTGATTTTTTTCATATCCACCACCAGCATTATTATTATTGCTCATCATCATCATCATTGGAGGAGGTACTGCTGTTCCAAAATCATCATCATTCTCGACATCCAATTCCTTGGAACCTTCGTCTTCCTTACGCAACTGACGCTTGTGACGAAGTTGAAGGTAAAGTAAAACACAAATGGCAATAAAGACTGGTACTCCAACACCTAAGCCAACAGCAATACCGGTGTTGTCTTTGACGGGAGTTTGACAACGAGCCGAATTATCATTAGGGGCACAAGATGTTGAAGTGGATGCCGTGTCTGAATCTGTAGGCGTTGGAGAGCGCTCAAAGAGTAGCGGGAGGGTTTTCGAGATTGCCGGTATTAGCGAGGGAGGCATTTTTCAAAAGGGGGTAAAAGAAAAAAAAAAGAAAAAAAAAAGATTGAGAGATGATTAACAGAGAAAGATATTGATGATAATGATGATGATGATGATAGCCAGATTTGTTTAAAAGAAGGTTTTTTTTTTTATTTAAAAGAAAAAAAAAATTGTAAGAAGAAGAAAACTAAAAAGAAAAAAAAAATAAGGAGACTTTGTTTCTATTTTTTTTTTATTTTTTTTTATTTTTTTTTTATTTTTTATTTTTTTTCAAAATCCTATTTTATTTTATTTTTTTTTGGTGCATTGTTTTTTATATATTCATTCAATCAATTAAGGGGGATTAATTGATGGATATTTGTTTAGAATTCTATATTTTTATTATTTTTTATTATTTATGTCTACTATCATAAACCAAAAAAAATAAAAATAAAAAAAGACCCCTTGAAAAATGTCTCTTTTTGGGAAATTCCCACCACGTCGGCGGCGTCGGCGGCTTTTGTTTAGTCCTAATTGGATAGTTCCCGCCTTATCCATTTTAGGAAAAACCCCAGCCATTTTAGGAAATATATAAACTTCCTCCTCCCCCATATTGCTTAAATGGATGGACATTTAAAAGCATTTTATTTTATAAAAAAAATGCCCTTTTTTTTTTTTTTTTTTGATAATTATCATTATTATTAAAATATAATAAAATTCTATATTGAAGTTTAAAATATGACTTTAAAAATCATCATCTTATTCTTAATTCTTTTATAAAAAAATATAAAAAACAAGTCAATTCCGTGTTTGATTTCACTTCCAATCTCAAAACAACTTCTAACTCTCCCTGTCCCTTATTCCGCGCTACTTTCAATATTGAATGTAGGTACTTACCATAATACTTCGCCTTGCTTAACCATTCTCCAACCATCTTGACTTATGGAAGTTGAAAACTCATCATCTTCATTATCATAATACCCCTCAGCAGTACTCCTACCACCACCTTTATTTCTTTCTCTCTTCATCATCAACAACGTCTCCATTCCTCTAAACTTATCTCCAAGAATGTCGTAGCCCCTGTTATTACTATTCCCACTGTTGTAGCTGCTACTCATATTACTTCCACTTCCATTTCCACTTCCATTCCCATTCCCATTCCCATTCCCATTCCCACTTTCAATTGATAACCTAGTCCTACCGCTTGAACTTCCCCAGCCCATATTAGACTCTACACCTCCGGCTCCTCGGCGGCCTCCCACCTTTTCCGGTCCTTCTCTTCTATTGTTGTTTTGATTTTGTTTGTAAGCATTGTTATCCTTCCGAAATGATAAGAATGTATTGCTGCTATTGCTATTGCTGTTGCTATTGCTGCTGCTGCTGCTGCTGCTGCTGCTGCTGCTGCTGCCATTTCCACTTCCAACGTTAGCCAAAAACAGCTTCCTGCCGCTACCATTTCCACTCGTAGGTGTTGGTAACAACACTCGGCAAACATAATCTTTCTCTTCTTCTGCTTTTTCATCTCTTCCAATCTCTCCACTCTCTCCATATCGCTTCCATATACTACCTCCAATACTCGGTGTTGACGCTGCATGATGTTTGCCATTACCGCCTTGTGAAAAAAGGTACTGCTGCTGCTGCTGCTGCTGCTGCTGAGATTGTTGGAATGTGAATTTCTTCATATTGTAGGTTCCCATTGCTTCTGTACTAGTACTAGTAATGTTAGTAGTATTAATACTGCCAAAGTCAACACCATCTTTACCAATACCGCCCAAACTTTTCATCTTCATATTCTTCGGCCTCCGCCCACCAAAGTATGTTTGTACAACATCTGGCAAATCGCCAACTGGAACTGCGGCTTCAACAACTCGTGCATTCAAAGCTGCTGCATTCTCAACTGATGGAACGTTTGCCAATGCAAAATCTTCACTAAAGCTATCATCTTCTTTTCCTTTTCCTTTTTCTTGTCCTTTTATTCTCCCCATCCCCTTTCCCTTTCCCTTCCCCTTCCCCACCCCCATCCCCATCCCCATCTCTTTCTCTTTCCCTCCCCCCTTTTTCTCTCTTCTCTCTTCTTCATCTGTCTTCTCATAACACTCCCCAAAACCCTTATAAACTTCTCCATCACTTCTAACTGCTTCTAACAAACTTCTTCCATTCAGCGCCCTACCCATCACACTAGGTCGAACAAGATATCGCGTATTAGGCTTATTCAATGAAACTGCTTTTGTAAACCCCCCTTCTCTCCACAGCCCTCTTTTCAATTCACTACTGTCATAACCAGACTGGTCACAAAATGGATCATCTTCCATCTCCTTTATTATTTCACCTTTTCCAAAACATCCAATTTCCTCTTTTGTCAAATACTCCCCTTGCTTCTCGTCATACTGAGATATCCCAATAACCCCAGCACTCCCATATGGCGGTGTTAGCGTCTCTCCACTTCGCCGACCATTTCCTCCACATCCACTTTGCAGCGGCATCCGCTCAGGTGCTTCTTGTCGCTGCCCTACTTCTCTAGGTCTCGAACGTAGCAGCCGCCGGCCCTCCGCTGCCAATTCGCGCTCTGCAACCTGTACGACTTCCATATCAAGCAACCGTGCAAGCTCCATCTCCCGTAAACTGCGTAAAGAAATTCGCGTATCATACACTGTCTCGTCGTCAGAACACGCATATTCTCCATCAGTCAAGTACATGTCATCGTCATCTTTATCTTTATCCTCATCATCATCATCATCATCATCGTCATCATGATTGTTGTTTTTCCCATTCCTACTATCAACATAATATCGGTGCAGGGCAGGAAACCGCCGTTGGGTGGTCCCTAGTGCCCCACTATTGGCCCCGTAAGATGTCAACTTATTCCATAATAACGACAATTTTCTTCCAATTCCTTCCGGTTTTTGTACTTGTTCATCATTTGTCACTTGTTCATCATTTGTCACTTGATTTCCCGTCTGTGCTGGTGCTGGTGCTGGTGCTGGTGCTGGTGCTGGTGCTGGTGCTGGTGCTGGTGCTGTTGCTGGTGCTGTTGCTGGTGCTGGTGCTGCTGTTGATGTTGATGTTGATATTGATGTTGATGTTGATGTTGATGTTGCATCTGGCGGAGGTGGCGGAGGAGGCGGAGGAGGCGAACCTCGTCTGTTTCTAGCGGTAAGCTCACGGACTTCGCCCAACTCCGCAGCCTGCTCCAACTCCATCTCAGCCTCTATCTTCTCTATTTTCCGGTTGCGCAGATACAACATAAACAGCGTGACCCCGGATATAACTAGCAGCGATGCCAACAAAATCACAACCACAATGTACCCCCATTTACTACTGACTGGCCGCTCGCACGCAGCTGACTTATCATGTGGTGCGCATGTCACTGTAATCGTAGGTTCGTCATCCGGATTTTCCAAAGAACTAAAAGTAGGTGTAATAGTTTTAGAAGAAATGCTGGAGTAATCTTCATCTCCGGACAAGCTGACAGCAGCAGTAGTAGCTACAAGTAAGTAAGCAACTGCAGTTTTTGTGTAAACCGCAGCCAATGTGGAAGAAGCAAACATAGGAACAGAATAGTCTTGCAACAGTAGTGGAATGGATGCCGAAGCGGCAACAAGACTAGGCGTGAAAGATGGTGACGTTAATGGCAATGATGATGATACTAATGTAACTAGTGAAGTTACTAGCCCACTAAATGCTAATGAAGCCCCATCATAAGTTATAGACTCTAAAACTTGATCCATTTGTAGAAAAAAATGATGGAAAGATATGTTTTTTAGTTTAGTAGCAAAAAAATGTGAATATTTATGTTCAAAAGCTAGGTTTGAAGGGAAAGAAAAAAAAAAGAGGGGGGAAGAGACACCACAAAATCTATTGAGTAAGTATGGATCCTTGGTGTTCCTTTAACTTTTAAAAACAGAAATTAAAAATTAAAGCAATTTATTTTTCAGTTGATTTTTTATCTTTTGCTTAAGGAACAACAATCTTGACGTTTTATTACTACCTACTGTAAAAAGCCAGCCATTCCATAGTTTTTGTGAGCCGCACGTGCGGCTGGTCCAAAAATGGAAATTTAATTTTAATTATGGTATCATCTCAACCACCCAACACTATTATCAAAAAAAAAAAGATCCTTTATAATTAATTTACTGAAAAAAAATCTTTAAACTTAAAATGAAGTTATTTTTAATATTTTAATTAATTTTTAAGTCCATTATATAATTAGTTAGTTACTCTTTTTTTTCTTTATTAAATTTAATCACCATAATTGCTATAACATCACACTTGTTTTTTTTTTTTTTTTTTTTTTTTTTTTTTTAGTGTCTCCTGACAAACTCCCAAAACTGCCGTTTCAATGAAGGCTCCTTCAGAATGTCCTCCGGAACAAAGAACCTCTTTTGCAGCACGCCAGTCACCCCATCTGGTACATACAAATCAACCTTCAGGCACCCAAACTTGCCGGTTGGTCTGTCCTCACTCCAATAAATGTGGTACACACCAGACTTTCCTTCAGGACACGACCATGCGTTGCTATTACTGTTAAGTGTCAAGAACTTTTCAGCCGTAATGGTCCATGGCCCCACTTCTGTTCCGTCTGCCAAAATTATTCCTGTACTATTGTTATTACCTACAGGCTCTTCAGTATTATCGGGAACTGTAATTAAAGAGTTGAGCCACAGTTTTAATGACCCATCTGGATATACAGCAACGCTTGCTTTAGTGTTGCTATCGTCGCGCGTAGCAACAAGTGTCCTCATGTCGGATAAGTATCCCACAAAAGGAATCACACCAGACCCTGTTCCTTGCTCTGCATTAATTACCAACTCGTTGCTTGGAGTCAGTTGCACTTGTCTTTTGTGAAGATATGGCACACCCTCGCGGAAAGTTTGAATGTTAAAGAGTTGTGCGGCTTGTACGAGTGGTGCTATATCAGTGTTACCTGAGGAAGAAGATGAAAAAGGTGATTTTGGGTTTGATGAGACTGTAGCTGCAGGGACTGCCGCGCTATGGCTGGCCACGACTTGTTTTAAGGTTGTGGGTATGCTTGCGGTGATTGTTGGGCGAGTATTAGTAGTGGGATGAGAAGCTGTGGAGATGATAATTGTGGGATGAACAGCAGAAGCTTTAGAAGTTGAAGAAACCAGGGATTTAGAAACAGAAGAAACAGTTGAAGTTGGGGTTGGAGCGCCAGAGGCACATGAGGCCAATATACAGAAAACTAGGCATTCAGTAAATTTCATTTTGAAGATGTTTATACAGATTGATTGATTATATTTTATAGAGAGAAAAAAAAATATAAAAAAAAATAAAAAAAAAAGTTGAAGATATCTTGACATATTTATACTTTTGAATGTATTAGTGAAAGACTTTCATCCTATTTGGAATCGTAATAATAGTGATTTATTATAAAAGTTTTTTTTTTGAATAACTCCATGGCTTTTACTGATATTAACCAAAATATAAAGGCTTTAAACCCAAAATTATAAGCACGCTTATGTCAGCTTTCCATGATTTCCCAGCTGCTTTCTTTTCTTTTTTTTTTCTTTTTTTTTCTTTTTTTCCAAGGACCTGTGGGAAACCTTGTCAATTTTCTCATCAATGAGTTTTTTGACAAGCTTCTTAATATCATTCTAGCCAGCTTTAAAAAAAAAATTTCCCTTTTTTTTTTTCTATAACTTTCACTTTTTCATCTTTTTTTTTTTCCGCTATCACAATTTAACAAACCAATTTAAAATTTATCAAAAAGATGGCCCAACTGCTCCGATCAAAAGACTCAGTAGCCACTGCCGCAGCTGCCGCCCATAAACTTAATCCCAAGCAGGAACCCTCCTTTTCCCATACGGCTGCTCCTCCGATTCATGCAAATGCCCACCATTTTAATCTTCAGCAAAAACATCTACAAAACGTTGCCCCCCTGCCCATTACAGAAACCTCTTCGCTCGTGCTTGTGAAATCACTCCTTACAGCTTCATTTGGTTCTCTTGCTTTTGTTCGTGGCCTTTTTGACGAAACTAATTTTGATGACGAGACTCTATTGTATCCCAGCGAAATAGAACAAGAAAACGAAGGCGGGGCTGCTAAAATTAGAAAACCTTTGCGTATCAAAAAACTCAAGCGTGGAATCACTCCTCAAGCAGACACGCTTTTAGATTGGATTGTAAGTAAGAAAAACATATCATTGACTTTTAACAAGTTATCACGAAACGATCATTATCATTAAATGCTATTAACAAAGTCCAATAATTTTTTTTATTTTTCCTCTTTTTATTTTGTTTTGCAGACCCTAGGTGTTTTTGATTCTCTTGAAAAAAAGTATCTACAGAATATCATTTTCTCTATTTTTGCAGACCCCGAAAATGAAATGGATGCTGTCGAAGTTTACACATTCTCTTTCACATATACAGAAAATAACAAAATTAAAATGGAATTTTCAACAAGCCATGTTGACACGCCTCTTGCTACAGAAACAACAACAAATACTCTCAGTTCTAGTTCAATGTCTTATGATAGTAATGCTCAAACCATGAAGTTTTTTTTTGTGAATGTTTTGAAAAAAAAAGCTGTTGACTAACCGCCCATTGTTTTATATTTAGACGCAAAAAAAAATCTATACAACTTAGTGAGAAGGTTCATTCTGATGGCCCAGAAACTTGGCAAACTTCCTGGTATGTTCCATTTGCTTGACATTTTTTCAAAACTTTGCATAAATAACTGATGTATAACGTAAAAATACAGACTCTCGATTTCTATCAATGAGACTTCTTTATACCCCCGAAACACCTACCGAGTATCAGCCTCCTAAGTTTAAAGATTGCACCCAAACTCCTGAGGCTGACATCATTCTTAATTCTGTTTCCTCTGATTCCAAGATTTATGCTACCGGGAAATCAGAGGTCGGCCATTACTCGTAAGCTTTTCCCGCTTTTTTTTTGTCATCAATTCACTTATTTATAATTAACAACCCAGTCTTTCAATGAAAATTGTCTCGAATCCCATCAATTACAAAAATGCACTAGCTCAACATAATGGTTCTACTTTGGCAGTATTCAGCCCTAAAAATAAACGGCATTCTTTTTTTGGGCCAAACAGAGAAGCGGAAGCTACTCCTTTGAAAAACAAACAAGTGGCAACCGCTCAGGCCCACTCACGTCTAAACTCCACTACGTCCGGAAGCCAAATAAAAATAAGTGATGATCTTCAAATGATGGTAAGTTTTTTTTAACGAGGTGACGATTGTGATGACCCATGTTTCTAGAACTAACACCAAACTACAATTGCTTGTCTGTCTCAAAATTTAGTTTCAAGAAAAGCAAGTAGATGAGATAACCATGACCCAACCATTTGATGCAACAACGTCTGGTGTTCACAATGAAATCATGGTAGACACCTCTAATGATCTTCAGGACAACCAGACACAACCATTTTACCAAATTTCTAAAGTTGAACCTGTCGTGACGACATCTTTGTCTTCGTCCTCGCTTCCCGTTGCCGAAACTTTTAAGCATGAGCATAATACCGATGACAATAATGCAGATTACTTCAACTGTGCCTGTGGACAGAAAGAAAATACAATTTTTGATGGTGTAAGTTTTTTTTTTTTTGCCTTTTCATTGCATGAATTCAAAGCATTATACTCATCATCACCCATCTATTTATATATTCTATAAGAGCTAACAGAATAATACCTTTTGCACTTTTAGATTCAATGCTCAACCTGTCATGGATGGACCCACAAGTTTTGTGAAGGATACTATAACGTAGACGATGCTGATCTCGATGCTTTTGAAGACTGTCTTTTTTGTCAACTCCAAAAAAAACTTCAAAGGGGCTTGAACAAAGCAGATCTAGAGAAGCTCCGCCAAATTGCAATTATTCGCAAAGTTTTTGGATATATCTTGAGTACAAACCTAGCTTCGAACAAACCTTTGCGTCTGGTGTTTGAAACACAAATTGGTAACGTTTCATCCTTGGTGCACGCATCACCTCTGCTTATAGACCTTTGCCATGATTTGGGGTTGGGGCTCAAGGACCTCGAGGATGTGATAATTATTTTGACCAAAGAAAAAGTCTTTTTTACACTTAATGAGACTAGCGGAGATCACCACGACTCGTCACAAAACGGAACAGATTCTAGTCCTTCTTCTTCACTTTCTTTGTCTGTAATGCGACGTCTTTCAAAATCTTGGAAACGATACACTGCACTTAGGTACCGTTACTTTACCCCAGGACTTGAGTTGCAACCAATTCCAGAGAATGTGGCACAGTTTCTTCGGGATCGAAGAAATACCTTATTATCGGAAGAAAATGAAAACAAAGAAAATATTGGTGAAGATGACACTACAATGGTTGATGGCCAAGTTCCTGAATCGGTAAAAAGTAGTAATAAGGGAAAGGAAGATGATGACCAAACGAAAAATCAAACAGAACAATCAAAGAAGCCAAAAAACAGAGCTGGAGCAAAAATTGCTAAAAATGAAATCAAAAAAGCACCTTCAAAAATTACAAAAGTGAGCATGAAAAGAATGAAGAAAAAAATTGCATCAACCGAGCACTAAATTGGACTTTTAGGGTTTGCATGCTAGTGTGATGAAGTGAAATCAATACGCATCATTCATTGGTACCTTTTTTCTTATTTTCTTTGAGTATCCCGATCTGTCTTTTTAACTTTATTTATCCAAAATTTGGCTTTTTTTAAATTTTTTATTTCTTATACTGTTGTTCCCTGAGTGAGCATATAACCAACTTTAAGTTGAATGTTGTTGCCACTGTGACCAGAAGGAAAAATTTAGTTAATGCTTTTTGTATTTTTGCATTATATAGGTCTTATGAAATAAATTGCTTGTATTAATAATTATTAATCCTTATAATGAAAGAAAAAAAAAAATAAGATCTCTGTATTGAAGACTTCATTTTGTTCTTAGTGTTTCTTGTTTGGGAAAAGGTGCACATATTATAAATAAATTAAATTGGATTTTAGAAAAAGTTTTAATGATGATGACATGAAATAACTGGTGATTATAATAAGTTTTATTCTTAAAAAAATTAAATGATTACTGAGAAATAAAAAATTTAGATTATATGTATAACAATAGTTCAATTATTACCCTCATCATCAACATGATCTTGTTATTGTCTAATCTTGTATATTTCGTTATCATTATCGCAATATTTGTTTTTTTTTGTCAACATCAAAAGAAATATAAACCATATCAGTGTAAATATTGAAAATATTGTAAATTAATATCATGACACTATTTTAAATGTTCTAGAATTTTTTTCTTTTTGAGATTATTAAATAGTTTTGTCTTAATATCTATTGTGAAAATGATTACTTGCAAATCTAGTCTCTGTTAAAAAAATTCTTGTTTTGTTTTTTTTTTCTTTTTAAAAAACGTTCATTAATAATAATAATAATAGCGTAGAACTTCATATCAAAAAAAAAAAAAAAAATTAAAAGACATGAATATGTCTATGTCTATGTCTATGTCTATGTCTATTTTTTTTTGAAAACAACAAGTGGAAAATTAATTCAAATTCAAAATCATAAATTCACAGTGCTAGAAATCTTTCAAAAAAGGGTAGTCCCGACCTTAATGAGTATTTAAGCAACCGGGACTGATAATTCGAAGTTAAAGGAAAAGAACTAACTGACTTAGTAGTAGATCTACTACTAAGTCAGTTAGTTCTTTTAGAGTAACTTTCCACTTCATTATCCGTGAGTGTAAGAGTGACACCCTCAGTAACAATTAGCAATACTAATGATATTATTATTAAACTTTTTAAACATAAACGTCATTTTTTTGTTACCTTAACTTGCTTATACTGGCCAGTTTTTTTTTTCAAAAAAAAAAACTAGATATGGGGAATGATTCTTCGCGCAAAATACTTTAACTTTTTTTTGATGCTTATAAGAGTTCAATTCTTTTTAAAAAAAAAACTAAAAACCTATGAAATTTTTTAAAATAGTTATCTATATATAAAGCTAATCATTATACATTATAATGTAGACTAATTAGTTTAAGCAGCTCTTTATCTTATCTTGATAAAAGAAAAAGACATGATATGATTGCATGAAATCCTGTAATTAATTGCGTTTTTTTTAATAGACGTTATAAGGCTTTATTCAACTAACAATTCAGCTTACCAAGAAATAAAAACTTAACATATTGTCATTGGATACAATTTAAAAAAGCTTGACATTTAGATTTGTACTAATAAATCAAAATTTTTTATTTTTCCAACAATTTTAATACATTAAATAGCGGTCGTCGACTTATGTTTTATTATAATATTCAGTCTAAACATTTCCACGCTGAGTCAAAACATTAATACACAGATAATCTCTCTTTTTTTTTTTCTAAAATTAATTCATACATATGAAAATATCTCATTTCAAGGATTATCTTTTTCTTTTACTATAAATACATTCAGACCATTCCCTTCCTTGCTAATAAATAAAAAGATAAGCCTCTTTGCCAGCCTGATTGCTCATCGTTTCAATTATTGGAGTGCACTCAAAGATGCTAGAGATAAAATGAGATGTCTGTGAATTAATTGAATGAATCGTTTCGTAATTATGAAAATAATCTCTAAAATAAAGGGGACAAAAACAAAAAGTGGGCTTAAATATTACATTAATTTTTTAATTTTTTAATTTTTTGATTCCTATAAATTCGCTTTTAGAAACTCATATCGCAGACTCTGTTCCATTATATTTTTATGATTTATGTCATTATTAATGAGAGGAGAGGCAGGACAATAAAACAAAAGATAACCTAAATGCTTATTGTTTCAAGCAAAAATTTTATGACCTTATAAATCATGAGTATTATAAGAATATACGTGTTTAAAAAACTGATTTTTTCTTGTTCTATATAATATAAATGTTTGCTATCCATTTTTAGAAATCATTTTAATGAATAATCGCAGTATTTCATAAATTGAATACTAACAACTTTATATTTTTATTGTAATATTACCATCCCATTTTACTAGATATCTTTTAATTATTATATATACAGCTCAAAGAAATGATAAACTTCATAATAATGAAGTGATATCGGTATGTATATATATACATCCTGATGGAGTTTTTATAATTAAAATAAAATAAAAGTGATATCAACCGGGATCTACTTTATTTGTAGGCAGCTTATCTAAATTCAAAATTTTGAATATAACCCTTTAAAGGGATATAGAAATAAAAATTAACACCTCAAACTCTTTTTTTTTCTTTCATCGTAATTGAAAATATTAAAGTGCTAAATTTATTTATTTATAATTAATTAAATTATAATTCAAATTTTGGTATCAATTATAGAGTATAGAATATACAGGTGAAAAAGCTGAGACCTAATTCATCATATTTTTTGTATATGTTAATTACCTATAAGTAATTACTTGACACTTATTAATTTTGAGATTTGTATATACTGCTAATTTCTTTTTATTTCGGTTTTCTTGATGACATTCTTAGGTAAGTCATCTATGATATTTCAGTTGTATAGCTTAAAATCGAATAAAAAAAATTATAAAATATATCAATTAGGTATCGATTTAGTTTACTTTTTCAATACAAATATATCGCTGACAAACGATTCTGCCTGTTATAAATTTCAAGACTACAAAAAAAATTGTTAGCGTAGTTCCAAAGAAAATACAATAAGGAGTATCTAATTGTGCGCTTAGCCCTTATTATAAAAGTATGTCAATATAAAAATGAATTAACAATGCTTAAATTTTAGAATAACGCTTGAATTTAACTAATGATGATTTGAAGTAGAGTTTGTGTGCTTGATTCCAAAGCGGTTAATCAAAAGCGTGTCATTGGGGTTTTTTATCAATATCAAAAGTTCTTCTAGTCAGTTATGATGAAGGGTAGAGGTAATACCTTGATAATCCAATTTAATTTTAGTCTTATGAAGCTAAGAAATGTTTAATCATAATGTGGAGAAGTTGGGATAAGCTAAGATAAAGTCACTAATTGTCATTGGAAAGATAACATTGAATGTCCAAACCGCTAAATCAACCACTCGCACAAGACAAAACAAATAGGCTATTGAACTTCAAAATAGGAAATTTAAAAAAAAAAAATATATATATATATATATATATATTTAAATTGGTTTCTTAACTTTTAAAAAAAAATATTGGTATGATAGTAATTAATGCATATGGCGGTAGCGACAGATTTAAAATCAAATTTACGAACACCGTTTGAATCAGTTTGCAATAAAGCATATATATGCTTTAAGATATATCTTATTGATTACATATATCTGAAGACTAATGATCACATGATTAATATCACATGATATTTAAGCCATTCAAATAAAATGAACACGTAACCCAAATCCTACAAAAAAGCAATCCTGCTCGAACCAAGCTTAAAATTGCTATCTAACCATAACTAGAATCAAGGAAAAGAAAAAAGAAAATGAATATTTGAACCAAATTCAAGTTTATGAACTTTAAAAGTTTAATAATATATAACAATAGCATTAAAAAGAATGCTCGAAAAAAGATACATTTTTCATAAAAGAAAGTAGAAATGATATCAATATTTTTTTGCTAAATATTCCCGATAGAGCATCATGAATATATGTGATGAAAAATGATCTCCTATACAAAACTAGCGGATCAACAATAGGCAGACAACCCATAAAAATTTTGGAAAAAATATATTTCCTAATACCCTGAAAATAAGATTATATGTAAATAAAAAATCACTAGAAGCATTTTAACCGACGAGTTATAATGATTTTAATTTGAGCATTACAAAACAATGACTGCCTGTCTTATTTCGACTTTCAGAGGCTGAAGTCAGCTTCTGCTATATCATAATTGTTATTAGATGAAATTTCAGTTTTTTTTAACAAAAAAAAGTCCTGAAAAAGAATAATTCAACTAAGCAAGATACCTCACTGATATGTATAAGGTGATTTGAGGATGAAGTGTAAACTTCAAATGTTAGAACAATCTAATTATTACAAACTAAGTAGCAAAAAAATAAAAAAATTAATTGAAAAAAATTATCATTGATAATACAAAAGAGGTTTCCTCCAAGAACAAACCTAATGATAATACTTATCAATCAATAAATATAAGAAAATATATAATAAAAAGATTAAGAATTCACGCTAATCACAAGAAAGCCGATTTATTTTACCACAATTACCAATCCTACCATTGTACCAACATGCCTATAATACCATTCTAACACTACGTTTGCTAATGAATCTAGTAATCCTGAAGGTAAAACAAAAGAGACTATTAAAGTAATCAATAAACTATTATTTCTATGCAGGAAGAGGAAAGCTGGTAAAGACAGCAGTTGCACTGAACACATAAACAATAAGAGCTGGAACAGCAGTATTGGGAAATTTTTTAGCAATAGGAAGCAAGGAAAAACAAGTAGATTGACTATAAAAATTCTAAGAGGACAATAGAGATGAGAATAATAAGGAGAATAATAACTATGATTTTACTGATCAGATAAAGAAAAGCCCCAAAACAGGACCTCTCAACCTTGTGATTGCTGAAGAAGTAAAAAAAAAGACAAATTTGAAATTAAATTCATTGTAAAAATATTTGGAAAATACTTATAGATATTATAATTAAAACCCCAATTTTGATTATTTACTATTTTTGATTATACCTTTTCGTTATATTTTTTTTAATCCGAGCGTCCGTAATAGCCTGAAAAATGGAGGGCCCTGATATTAACCTCCCAAGATCAGGGTGAGTGTATCTGTCGACTCTAAACCTACCCAACTAATTTTCACTTGTCTTCCCAAATTCCTGTGTATTTCATAATATTCTTCGCCTAAGATATTTTGTCACCTGCAAGTTAATTAAACTATAGCTAAAAGTGTGTTTTCCTGTAGAGTTGATTAAGGTATGTATTCCCATAGACATGTTCATGGTATGGAAGCAATGGGAGTCAAGCTCATGTTTGACTGTTATATTCTGTCTTAGACACCGAGCTTTTTTTCTATCTAGTTAAAAATATTAATCACTATAATCTTTTTGATAAAAACTATATGACGGTAGTTTTCAATGAGTAAAAAAAAGTTATATATAAACAGATGCAATGCAAGAAATCTGATAAAGTAAAAAAAGCATACATGGCAAAAATTTAAAGTATTAATTTGATAAAAAAAAAAGCGGAATTCTTTGAAAATAATTATATTTTCAGCAAAGCTGGAATTTCCAAAGTATACAGAAAAAAGATGGTTCACTCATTTTCAAGCACAATGAGAATTATAAAAAAAGATTTGAAATGAAAAAATTATATTATATTATATTTATTTGCCTCCTAGCGGAATTGAACCGCTGACCTTTGCATCTCATATGAAGATACAAGTGCAATGCTCTACCCCTAAGCTAAAGAGGCTTACTAATCATATTAACATGTAATACTCAGACTATTTTTCTTAGCCAAACTCACATTATAGTATAGTTAACAATTAAGGGATGCCCTTAGAGGGGAAAGGGCTGGATGGTGTAAAGGATAACACGTTCGCTCGATAGCGGAAGATACTGGGTTCGATTCCCAGAATACCCCCTTTTCCTGAGGATGTGTACGGGAGTATACACCTAGACTGAAAACCATAGGCTACCCTGGTTACAGGAATGCCGACTCTTCCGTACAGTCTAAATAGCCTGCAGGTGATTGCGGGCCGTATCTCTGACGGAAGAGATTAAGAAATACATGGGCGTCCGTGAAGATAAGTGGAAATGGGTTGGGAAGGTTTTGGGACCGACAGACTAGTTCTCCCTGTTCCTCGTAAGCTGGCATCAGGGCCCATCTTCCGGGCTACCGGAGACGCACAGAACAGAAACCACCCGTACTAAAAAGGTACAAATGAAAACCGGCAAGTCACATAGTCAGACAATAAAAGGATAGTGCAGATGCTGATGTTATATAGTTCTATAACCCTTGAATAAAAACAAACAAACAACAAACAGGGATGCCCTTAGATGGAATTACGGGCAAAGTTTTAAAGATGGCATGGCTAAATAAAGACTTTAAGGAAAGGTTTTTCAAGCTTCTCCAAGCTTGTGTGAAGTTTGGATACCACCCAAAAGTCTGGAGACATGGCATTATTGTTGTTATACCTAAACCTAAGAAACCTGACTATTCAATGCCAAGAGCATACCGACCAATTTCCTTACTTAAGATTCCATCTAAAGTACTGGAAAAAATTATACAAAAAAGAATGACCAAGCTTACAACACACTACTTCCACCAGAGCAATATGGGGGAAGACAAGGTTATTGTGCTACTGATGCTGTTTTGGAACTTGTCCAAAGAATTGAAACTAGTAAAGGAAAAATTTCAGCTATGCTCATTGATATTCAAGGAGCTTTTGATAATGTTAACAGAAATATATTGGCAGACACAATGGAGGATATGAAGTTACCCAAAGCACTTATAAACTGGACGTACCAATTTGTAAGTGAAAGAGAAGCTAGTATGCTCATGGACCGAAGAAAAGGATCAGTGCAAAAAACTAGTACTGGAATTCCGCAAGGCTCACCTATTTCACCACTACTTTTTTTGATATATTCCACACCAATGTATCATGCCATTAAAGAATGGGGTGGAACTCCTTTTGGCTTTATTGATGATGTGACTATTACCGTTGAAGGTAAAATTGAAGAAAATACCAAAAGCTTAAGCAACATATTAGAAAAATGTTGTAATTGGGCTAAATAAAGAATGACCAAAATTGATTTGGGTGATAAATTGGGTTTTATTCATTTTACAAAAAATGTGAAACCTAAAGATGAAAAAGTGCAACTTACTTTACCTAATGGAGAACTTCGTGAACCCCAGAAGGAAGTTAAATTGCTTGGAATTACTTTGAACAATCTGCTTGATTTTAAATCTCATATTTTGAATAAAATCAATAAAGCAAGAAAAGCAGTTGGTGCTATTTGGCATCTTGGTGGCGTGCAAAAAGGTATGCGAGGGTCTGCAGTCAGATCACTGTATATTGCTTGCGTGAGACCAATTGTCGAATATGGTTTAGAAATTTGGTATCATAAAATCTTGAAAGGAGAAATCCACAAGTTGGAAGTGATGCAGAACATGGCTTTAAGAAGAATTGTTGGTGCTTATCGCACAACTCCTATTGCGGTACTACAAAAGGAAGCTGGTATTATGCCATATAGTATTAGGCTAAAATTTATGGTGGCACGAAAAGCTATTCGTTTACACCTAAATATTAGCAAAACTAATTCTATTAATGGTCATTTGTTAATCAATAAGGGGACCAAGATTAGCTTCCATTCCATTCTTCTTTGCTGGTGTGAACAACCTCAGTTGGATTTATAGAGAAAATATTTGTTTCGGCTTGAAAAGGTTAATTTCAATTCTGGCACAGGCTGCTTTAAAGGGGAATTGAATACCTACAATCATCATAGAAAGTGACTCCGGGCGAATCTCAAAAAAGACTTAATTTTCAGTTTTCTTGACTGGGCTGCAATTCTTGAAATTGAAACCTGATTTGTCAACAGCTTCAACTAAAGCGGTGCTGAGTTCTCAGATAGCTTTATATCGTTTGATATTAACAGGACCAACAACTGGAACATAAATGACACCTTTTTGAGTGTGCTCTCCTTCAACACGGGTGCTTGTAGCTAACTTCTTGTTTTCCCTGCCAACGAAATCAATTTTCTTGCCTTTGGGTTTAGGAGACATGAATTTGAGATGATTGTGGGTATTCTGGGCTGAATTTTTTAAGGTCTTTTCATGACTTTTTTGGCATTTTTAGGGGTGGCTGGCTTATTTCTGTCATCATTGTCGTTTATCTCCTCATGATTGTGGTCACTCACTAGGGCGAAAGTGGATCCCGAAATTTCTGTCTTTAATAATTGTTGATCTTCAAACTCTATGGTGTCAACCTCTTGAGTATGGAGGATTAGAAAAAGGGGGAAATAGAGCTGGATGAGAGATAGTCAGAATCACTGGAATGTGAGGATAAGGGATTATTTAAGCTGTTTATTTTAGTGGGAATAGCACTTTTGAAAGGTATTTTCATAAAACATATATATTTTTTTCTCAAGTATGGATTTTTTTTTAAAAATAAAAGAGTTTTTAGAAGATTTTGGGATTTAATGGATTTTGTGGTAACATCTAGGGAAGACTTCTCTATTTATATCTGTGGATTCATCATATTTAACAGAAGTTTGTTAGAAGGCATCCTTGGCTTCCTCAAAAAAAAAAATAAATAAAATAAAACTCTATAGTATTTATATATATGGCTGCTATTTACTACTATACTGTATACTTAAATGAAATAACATAATCAATTAATTTTTGCCCCCTCCACTAAAAACTGGCAAAGTTTAAACAAAAGTTTTTTTTTTCAAAAAATAATTATATATATATATATATAGTTAGTCAGTCTGCTAAAATCAAACATAAACAATAGTAACATTTCATTCACTAATATTCCTGAAACAGTAACAAAAATAAAGCTTCATGACGAAAATGGATGATGATGAATTGATGACCCCCCTATGGCAATGTTGCATTTTTTTGAAATTTCGTCTCATAGACCAAACAGAAACCAGACTCCCCAGCCAGGTTTCAAGACAGAAAGAGGTATGCCGGCATCCACAAATCACCTAGAATTCTTCAAGAAAACAAAAATACATAATAGATGGGTAAAGATGAAGTCAATTGGATTGTTATGAATGCTACCAAGGCCAAGATAATAATCCTCTTAGAGACTACATTAAACTATATTAGCATCTATATATTCATTTTCAGCTTATGGAGTTTAGGCAAATGTTTTAATATTATTACTGTACTTTTCCTAAAAGAGTTTCCGGTAAGAGCTATAGCGATAATGCATAACAGCAAGAAAATAATTAACTTCTTCTAATTCAATTTTATAGAATCAATGAGCTTTTTGAATATATACATATGAAAGAAAATCAATCATTCAAAATAACATGGTTGTTAGAACAAAGTGATGTCTAACATGTGAAAATGTCATTCATTTTATTTTAAAATATCTGGCAAGCAACAAGATTATTTTTTTTTTTTGGAAATTACATAATCTATTATTTTTTGCCCTATTTCTACTGCACTATAAAATAAATTATTTATTTTCCATCATTTATTATGCCAGCTGTGAAGGCATGTGGAAACTAGTATGGGGTTTGGAGTTGATTCCTGCTCTTCCAAAAATTGGTCAAAATAAAAATTTTAAACGTGAAGAAAATCCCAGCGGCAACTTGGCGGTTAATAAAATCTATCCCTATTGTCAAGTTTTGCAGTCTGAACAATCTGTAAAATTATGTCAAAGGAGTCATTTGTGAAAAGAATAAAAGAGTTCCCAGAGCCGAAAGAGTCTGGGATGAAATCATAGTATGGGCCCGCTGTGAAGATGTGTTTGGGGTTTCTGCTTCTGCTTCTAAGAGCAGGCATTTGTCTTATTTGTCTTATTTGTTGTCTTAGTTCTTGGTGTGTTCCACAAAATATTTGACAAATTTGTCATGTCCTGTTTTGAGTTGGATGGTGCCAAACATGATGTGTCTTGGGCCTTCCATAGCTTTTTGAAGGAGTAACTTGTCGTTGTCTAATTCTATTTTATTGTTTGGGTATGTTCCCTTGTACCATGTTTGTTGGGGACAGTTGGAAGCCTTGTTGGTTGCAATGGCCTGTTCATGGTGCCACTGAATAAGGGCCCTGCGTTTGGAGGCCAGGGTTGAGTCAATTCTAAATCAGTTGACCCTAGTGATGGGGTTGATATTGTCTAATCTAGCATTGGCTTTGGCTACAAGGCTTCCTTTCTGTAGCTGGATTTGGCAGGGTTGTCTCTGTGTGTTCTTGTAGGGTTGGAGAGGTGGTAAGCCGCTCTTCGCGCCAAGTCTTCGAGTGTGATGTACAGGGGGAGGACAACTTATTCCCTGTGAAGAATATAGATTAGGGTAGTGCGGTATGTACCAAGAACTCTTCGTAGAGCGATGTTTTGTGTTAGTTGAATAGAGTTGCCCATTTTCTTGACAAGGTTGGGGTTATCGCCCCATGATCCCACACTGTAGGCAATAATGGGTGTAATACAGGAATTGAAAAGTGGTTTGAAGGAAAATCAGTGAATCAGACTGCTATGCTCCCCCACCTGGAGATAAAGTTAAGGTCTCGAATGGCCTGCTGTTTCATGAATGACAT